ATTTTCAATTCACATTATAATAGGAAACTTGATTTGCAATTAGTTCTCTATAAATATTATTTATTCAGGATATAAAACATTCATGTAGACAAATCTGATCAAGAGTCGCGACTGGCGCCAATTTAAATAGTCTGTAAAAAAAAAATTGGAATGAAAATTCAAAGATGAAGATTATTTAGAACTATTTTTGTAATTTTCTTCAGATTTTAAAAATGAGATACAGAAACTGAAATTTGCGGATTTTTAATTTGATTGAATTTTTCTTTTTTTGGTGTGTTTACGAAAAAAATTTATTTGATTCAAATAATTACTTGACTATTAGCAAATAAATATTTTATTATTTGAGTCAAATATAGTATTTTTCAAATACAGAAATTATTGGTTCAAATACAGTTTATTTAATTCAATTATTTGGTTTGAAAATTTATATTTGGTTTAAAAATTTATTTGGCAAATAAATATTTATTTGACAATAAGTAACCGATTGAATCAAATTTTTCTTTTTAATTAAAATTTCAACACGGAAAAAAGGGGAAAAACGAATAAAGTAATCTTTACTATTTTAAAAGTAAAACCGAAACTGTTCGCAGTTTTTGCGCTTTTCTGTCAATTTTTACTCCAGAAGTAGTAAAACTTACTATTTCTGGAGTAAAATTTACTATGTTCGGAGTAAATTTTACTATTTCTGGAGTAAAATTTACTATGTTCGGAGTAAATTTTACTATTTCTGGAGTAAAATTTACTATTTTCGGAGTAAATTTTACTATTTCTGGAGTAAAATTTACTATTTTCGGAGTAAATTTTACTATTTCTGGAGTAAAATTTACTATTTTCGGAGTAAATTTCACTACTTCTGGAGTAAAAATGGAAAGAAATGCTCAGAAACTGCGGACAGTTCCGGTTTTACTTTTAAAGTATAGTAAAAGTTACTTTGTTCGTTTTTCTTTTTTTCTCCGAAATATAAAATGTAAAAAATGAAAATTCTAATAAAGAAATTTTAGGACTTATGCGTCTCAAAAAAATATAACAATAAAATATTAATAATAAATAGTAAATAAAAATTAAAATAAATAATAAATTAATAAAATATTAATGCTTACAAAAGGAATTCTTTTGGAAATATAAAATATAGATGTAATATAATCAGTATTTGCCCAACCTTTTTTTTTTTTTTGTTAAAAAAAAGTGTTTATCTCATAAAACAATCAAGTTTTATCATCTTGACAACTTTTTGTTTTGTAAATAGCGTCTTTCTTTCTATGCTGCGTAATTATTTTTCGATATTATTCTTGTGCATTTTATTTTATTGATATATTTATAAATTTTGCCTTCCGCATATAAATAAGAAATGCAAAATCAATGAAAATTACGAAAGTGTATAAATTTATATGAAAATACTTATAAAATTCCTTCTTTATAAATGTTTGAAAAAAAAAGAAAACAGTGCGCATTCAAATGCAAAGAAACATATGAAGTGCCATAAAACCGCTTTCAGAAATAAACTTCTTCTTGCAAGTTAAACGTTTTGGTACAACCATTAGAGAGTTCTTGGATGGTAATAAATTTCGTGTGTTGGGGTTCTGTAAAAGTCGATCGCGTGAACTCGAGAATAGCCAGATTCTGCAAATTTATATGTATAAATATACCTGTATGTTGCAATTTACCAAACGGATGTCATACATTCCCTGCGTAATATTACCAACATCTGGAATGCATTTAAAAAAAAAATTCTTTAAAAAAAAAAAATAAAATAAAAATTACAAAAATTAATTAACTAAAGCCGTGCAGAAATTTTGCCAGGGGCATGAGCAGACTGCCCTATTAGGGAATGAAACGCCGCGCCTGATTTGGCCCTAATCAGGTGTGGCGTTTCATTCCCTAATAGGGCCCTGGTAGGAAAGGCATAAATTTTACACGGGGATTTAGATTTAATTTAATGTAAACAAGATTTAATTGAATTATAATTATGAAAATTTATTCTTTTATTATAATGAAAAATGTTTATTATGGAAAACAAAGTTGATTTATACTTTCAGTGTTAATTGAAATATAACTAATAATAAAACAGAGGGTGATTGTTCGTTACACAATAGCGGGGAGTTTTATGAAAATAAAAAAACTGGTCAGTTTACTCACAACAGTTATTAGGTATTATATACCCTTTTATATCCAGTTTAATTTAATAAGGATGGGCGTTTATATACTTTATAGGTCGACTTCGATAAGCGACGCTGTGTGTGGATTAAATTCACGCCTTATCTCTGCCATAAAAGGTAGCGTTGGAGAATCTTATTCTTCAAATAAAAAAGTATGTTTAATTTGTTGCACATTTTTGAACTTTTCGCATATTTATTTGTTTGCACTATTAAAAAAAAGTGACGAATATTAAATTTGTTAAAAATTTGTACCAGGAGTGCAACGCGGCATCTTATTTTTTTTCTCTTCGTTTCGGGTGTATCATAACGAGGACATTAATATCGCGTGCGCAACGAGCCATATTGTACTCTCAGCAAATGGAAAAACGAGTCTCTGAAAACTGAGACGATGTAAAATATCTTTTTATGTTTCTCGAATGTTCTTAGAAATCATTTAGATTTAATAAAATTGAAAAAAAAAAATTTATAATCGATTATAATTATTATTTTTTTTCAAGGGAAAATTGATTTTAGTTAAAAAAAAAGAAACACGACTATAAAGTACTTGTAAAAATTTTTTAATCCAAAGTCACTTTGAATAAAGCTACCTGACGGGGAAGTTTTGTCTATGGCAATATTGAGACAACAAAAAAGTTCTTTTCAAGCCTTCATGAATTTCATACATACGGAATGGAAGAACTTTTTTTTTTTTTCGTTATAATAAATTATTTTTTCAAAATCCTCTTCGTCGATATATAAAGTTTGAAAATGAGTTTTGATTTTAAAATTTCTTATATAGATTTAAAGTTTTAATATATTGTTTGATGCGAGTCAAATTTTGTGGCAGTGGTAATATTAGGATGTAAAATTGCTTTGATATAGGAAACTAGTTATTCAATGACACCCACGCACTTGACACCATATATATATATATATATAGAGGTTGTGTCGTGTCATTTTGCTTCTGAATCGTTGTGCCAAAACCAGTGAATAGGAACGTCAGGAATGCCCTTTAACCTCCTGTGGGGGATATAGTTTACGCCTCACATTTCGCGGCCTGCCGCTTTTCAGACTCACTGTCCGCAGACTCTCAGTGTCAATGAAATTCACATATATTTATTATCTAATTAATAAAATTTTTTTTCAGTAAATTTAAACATTCATGGAAAAAATTCAATTTTTTTTTTATATTAGTAATTGATTTCATATATTTGTTTTGTAGAAAAATATTTAATATTTGAAAGATTTCTTTTATATTAAAACGAATTTTACATGACACGTATCTTTGAAATTTTATCCCACACCTTTGATATTGACTGTCAGGTATTTATATATATTAAATGTCAGACGAACCTCGTAATCAAATTATGACCCCATTGACTCAAGTGCCATTGCCACTTTTATAGTCGTATGAACACTTGAACGCAATGTATGTAAGTGAGAACCAAACTTGTTTCTCGAAAAATATCTACGACGGCAATTTTATTGAGAATCAATTTTATATTGAGAATCAATTTCACATGGGAGTAAATTCTCTTGCTCAAAAAAGTCAGTGCAAAAAAATTATTATTTGACTTGGCAAGATTTTTTTTAAAAAAAAAAAGGAACTCAAATTATAGTAAAATTAAAAACTTTATTTTCTGAGAATATAAATATAAATAAATAATAATGAATAAAATTATAATAAATAAATTTTATTTATATATAAAAAATTATAAGGTATTAAGATAAGGTGCTATTAATTTAATACCAAATTTTTGATTAAAATTAGTAAATATTTTTTTACTATTTATTAGTAAATATTTAATTACTATTTAATAGTAAATATTTATTTACTAGGTTTTTATTTACTAGTAAATATTTATTTACTATTTATTTACTAGGTATTTATTTACTAGTAAATATTTATTTACTAGGCTTTTATTTACTAGTAAATATTTATTAACTAGGCTTTTATTTACTAGGTATTTATTTACTAGTAAATATTTATTTACTAGGCTTTTATTTACTAGTAAATATTTATTAACTAGGCTTTTATTTACTAGGTATTTATTTACTAGTAAATATTTATTTACTAGGTATTTATTTACTAGTAAATATTTATTTACTAGGCTTTTATTTACTAGTAAATATCTATTTACTAGGCTTTTATTTACTAGGTATTTATTTACTAGTAAATATTTATTTACTAGGCTTTTATTTACTAGGTATTTATTTACTAGGCATTTATTTACTATTTATTTACTAGTAAATATTTATTTACTAGGCTTTTATTTACTAGGCATTTATTTACTATTTATTTACTAGTAAATATTTATTTACTAGGCTTTTATTTACTAGGTATTTATTTACTATTTATTTACTAGTAAATATTTATTTACTAGGCTTTTATTTACTAGGTATTTATTTACTAGTAAATATTTATTTACTAGGCTTTTATTTACTAGTAAATATTTATTTACTAGGCTTTTATTTACTAGTAAATATTTATTTACTAGGTATTTATTTACTAGTAAATATTTATTTACTATTTATTTACTAGGTATTTATGTACTACTAAATATTTATTTACTAAGTATTTATGTACTACTAAATATTTATTTACTATTTATTTACTATTTACTAGTAAATATAGTACTAGTAAATATAGTATTAGTAAATATAGTAATATTTATACTAGTAAAACATTTACTATTTATTAGAAAATATTTATTTACCATTAAATAGTAAATAATAGTAGAAATAGTTTACCTACTATTTAATAGTAAATAAATAACCAAATAATAATATAAGAAAAATTTTTTTCCGGACATTAAAAAAAAATTGTGAAATTTTAATAAATCATTTTTTTTTTTTTGGTTTCAGCTTGTAGCAGCAATCAATTCAAATGTAGAAATCTTCAATGTATAGACATTAAACAATATTGTAATGGAGTGCCAGACTGCCTGGATGGTTCCGATGAAATAAAGTGCCGTAAGTAGAAATAGAAACAAATCTTAATTATCGCTTAATTTTTTTTTTTTTCGACAATGGTGCATTACTTACTAAATAAAAAATTGATTTGATTTTTTTCTTTTATTTCTTATCCAATTTTTCTTAATCATAAGAAAACTTAATTAAAAATTCTCTTGCAAAAAACATATTATTGCTTTTTGTTTTTTTTTTTTTATATAAAAGGAGAGTTGATTAAATTTATTAATCGAGTCATTAAAAAGTGAAGCTCACAGAGAGAAAATTATTAAAATGGATATAAAAGAAAACGTTTAGAAGGGCGTCGAAAACATGTTGCTTTTGTTGGGGGTTTTTCATATATATATATATAAAGTAATGTTGACCCCGCGCTCTCTGTAGCATTATGCACATCTTTTGTTGACATGCACCATTGTCCGTATAGCGTAAAGGAACGGCTTCATTGTATATTTTTTTTTTTTATTTTTTTTATTATGTACCCACGTGCACAGCACTTTCTGCGTCAATAGAGAGAGCTTGTAGCTTAAGATTCTGAGATCAATGTTTTTCACCTTTATTTGTGGGTCTGAGTTTGACAGTCTTTAACTTTTTTTTTTTTTGATTAGATGACTGATATATATTTAACAAAGCTTAAGCATTCTCAGATTTTGTTATTCAATGCACTGATACTTTTCTCTGCACTTTTTTCTTATATATAAAAGAATTGCATTTAAAAAATTTATTTTCCTTTTTCATTCAATTTTTTCTTATTGTATCAATGATTTTTATTTAAATATGTAAATGCAGCTTGAAGAAAAATTTTTTTTGAAGAGTAATTTTTTTGTGATGAATAAAAAATTTTTTTATTCAAATATAATTGGTTATTAGATAAATATTTAATCAAATAATTTTGTATTCTAAATAAATTGAAATGAATATTTAAATAGAGAAATTATTTCAATAATTATTATTAGTATTTATTAATTTTAAATTGAAATAATTTCTTTGTAATTAAATTACAAGAAAATTATTTCAATTTATTTGAATTTGAAAATTATTTGATTATATTTAATAACTGCTAAATTTTTTGTTATAAATTGTTGTAATTAATTTTTCATCATGATAAATAAAATTTGACAGTGGATTTATATTCACAAATTTGCAATTAAATGTCATTCTTTCGAGATGAATATAATTTTTTTTTTTTAATACACTGAGGTTTTTGTTCAAATAGGCCGTTTCGAATTATTATGAACGCTTTAGCTTATTAGCACCCACACGTGTGTTTTTATCGTTTATAAAACTCATTAAATACACGTTTATGTTTACGTGGAATGCACACACAATGAAATTAACAACGCTTCTATTATTATTATTATTTTGGTCTCGTCATAGTTTAACAAAAAAAAAATTGATTATCAGGATTTAATAGATTAAATTATTATTACTATTATTATACTATTATATTAATTATACAATATTTAAAAAAATTATATAATAGTATAATAAAACTATAATTTGTTTTTAATATCGTTTACAATTGTTAAAAAATTGACAATTACGAAAATTGTGTATAAAAAAAAAGAATGGTAAATTGAAAAAATAAGAATGTATTTGTAATTGTTCTTATTGTTGTTGGTCAAGCATGTATGTATTCATGTTTCCTATGGGTGCTATATACGTATTATTTATTACGGTCGGTATTGCACGTCACCCTGTGCTTCTCGCATGTGAATGTCCTGAAACTAATCATGAATAAGCCTTCGCGTATTATACGATGAGCTCAATAATTATAATAGCTGTGACAATAATAACTGCATGCATCAGAAAAGGGAAGGCCATTGCACTCCATCCCTTATATTTTATATTTATATCTGAAAATTTTCTTCTTTTAATCACATTAATACCCTTCATTGACTTTTATTAATATTTTTCACAATTTTCCCCTTTTCTTTTTTCTTCTTTGTAAAAAAATACTAAATTATTATACCTTAATAAATAATAATAATAATAATTAAATTTCCTTTAATTTTGAAATTTTGAATTTTAATAAAGTTTTTTTTTCTAAAATAAAAATGAACTTTTATATAATTTAAATAATAATTTAGTTTTATATTTTTAAATTCAATTTAATATTTAATTTGTGAAGATAAAAATATTTTAACTTGGCCTTTTTTTTAAAAGAGGAAGAGCTGATTGATTCAAAAAAAATACTTTCCAATTTTTAAAATAAGATTTCCATTAATAAAATATCTGTCAATTTAAAAATCCTTTATTAAGAATGAAAAAATAAATGAATTATAATTTAAATGAATAAATGAAAAATTTTTGAAAATTAATTATTGAATATAAAATATTAATATAATAATTATTTTATTGAAAAATTTGACAAAGGAAATTGTATTTAAAAAAAAAATGATGGGGAAAAAAATAATAATTAAAATCGCGTTAGCAAACCTCAAGTAGGTGTCAAGTGGAAAGTTGGTGGTGAAATTTTTTTCTTCTCTCTCTCCTTTTTTTTTTTTAATTATTCTTTTTAATCACCTGGGAATATTCGCACTATAACAATATTACAATAAACCAGAAATATATAACTATATTTATATATGGAATGAGGACAGTAGTGAGCGACATATAAAAATTTCACCAAAATCCCGCTCACCCCTTTTTCATTGAAATTTAGTCGCGTTTATTAGCCATCCTAATGACTGACCACACATATTTTAATCCGACATTAATCTCTCGAGACTCGGCCAAAAGTTACCGTCTGTCAGGAATTTCGTTTTCATCCTCTCGCGTGTGTTTCGCTTCTCGCCGTCACGAAATTTTGGTCGCGAGAATTATAATATGTCACTGTATAGTGAAATTGATCGAGCCATATATGTATGGGTGAAAATTAAATTAAAGCCAAATGGCTTCAGTTTAACATATATAATTATTATCTATTATTTAAATATGAAAATCCGCGTACGATTTACTTTTTTTTTAAATTATTTCAAATATATTAAAAAATTATTTCGCGGATTTAATTTAAAAAAAGTAGTTTTTAAAACTATTTTGATTGACAAATGTCAGGATAAAAAAAAACGTATTTTTTTTTGTTATTTAATTTGGATAGAAATTTTCGCTGATAAAATGTTACATGACACTAGATTTATCAGATTCTTTTTTTATCTGGAAAGCTCCTTTCTTTGGTATAATAATAATAATAATAATAGTTCAGTGACAGTTTTATAATCTATTTTGTTTATTTGGATCAATGAATTTTTTTTAAGGATGAAAAAAAGTTTTTTTTTAAATAAATAATTAATTTACAATTTATAATAAGATTAAAAATTATTTTTATCAGTTATTTGAAATAGTTGGGATTAAATATTGAATTTAATTTGTCTTTATTGTAACAGTTTAATTTCTTGCAATTTACCTATCTAAAATTTTATAATACCCAAAGTGGATATTAAATATTAAAACAAAACTTTCGATTAATTTTTTTTTTCAATGTTCACTTAAAGAAAATGATATAATTTTCTATGGATAATAATATGATGTCATTTGTAAGATAAAAGCTTGATGCATATGCATAAACTAATTAGAGAAAATGGTTATGTCGATGAAAGTAATTGAAGTAATTATAAATATGACTTCAGTTCAGGAAAAAATTTTTTTTTTATTTAAGTACCGTTTATGTATTTATATTTTATTACTATTATTAATATAATAATAAATTATTAATAACAATAAATTATTAATAATAATTATTTATTATTAATAAGAATAATAAATTATTATTATTAATGCACATTAGATTTTCATCGTTTGGAAAAATATTTATTTGAATCAATCAAAAGACCATAAGAAAAATTTTCAAATATTAAATAAATATTTAAAAAATACAATATAAATATTTAATAATAGTAACCAATTTTTTTGTGGGAAAAAAATTACCAAAAAAATTCCCTTCTGTTTTAAATTTGCATGATAAAAATTTGTTTTAATTTATTATGTGTGTAATTTTACATCGATAACTCTATTGGAATTAATTTTAGATTTATAATAATTATTTACTAATCAGTTTTTTTTCTCAATGTGCATGTTATTAATATTTGTGTTAATATTTATTTTTAAGTCGTTAATATTCAATCTTTCTATTCGTCCATGATTTTTATTAGTAATTTTTCTCGCAATATGTATTTTGTGTTTTTTGTATAATCCATTTTTTCTTTTCATGTGAATCTATTAACAAAAAAAAAAAAAAGTTGGGATAAAATTTGTAACTCAATTGTTACCTTTCTATATATATTGTTGTGTCTCAATATGAATTTTTTCTATAAACAGTGTTTTATAAATTGTCTTCTTCATCGTCAAGAAAATTCGATTTTCGATTATAGGTCGCATATATCTTCACACAAAAGCTTCGTGTCTTCTATTATTGTATATGTGCTTTAGGCTTTTTATACTTTTACGTGATTTGCAATTTTTTTTTTAAATAGAATTTTTTTAGACTATTAAAATCATCGTTAATTTCTTCTTTTTTAATTTAAAAATTTCTCAATTTGTACTTATTTAAAATATAATAATTTACAACTATTATTTCAGAATTTAAAAATATCAAATTGATACCAAAAAATTTCAAATTTGGATCAATTTGATATTTTCTGTGTGTTAAAAAAAAAAATTTCATTTTTTTGTATAATTAGATACATTTGAATTTTAATGGCAATTTTTTCTTTGCTTTTTTTGTTCTGATTCTTATCCGATGTGTTGTCTTCTTTATTCATAATTCAAAAATGATTCGTATTTTATGTTCTACAGTTTCTTCTATAAAAAAAAAATTCTTGTGTTGCTTTTATGAGCTTATTCTCTTCTTCGATTGTTGGATCAAAAAAATTCTCCTGAAGGAAAATAGTTGAGATTATTTTTGTATAATTTCTTTTATATTAGTTTTGTTTTCGATTAGTTTTGTTTGGATTCAATTCTTACAGAATCTAGAAAATGTACAGACGATGAATTTGAATGCACGCCAGGATACTGTGTGTCAAATTCCAGACGATGTGATGGAGTAAATGACTGCCAAAATAGAAGAGACGAATTATATTGTGGATCACACAACAGTATGAAAAATACATATTTACAAAAATATTGCGATAAAAAAAAAATTATTTATTAAAAATTAAAAATAAAAATTAAAAAATATATTTTTTAAAAAAAAATTTTCATAAAACAGATTTATTGGGAGAAATAAATCTGGAAAATTATTTTGATTAGTAAAGTGTAATTTATAAATACGATATAGAAAGTTTTATCTGGTGATGTTTAAGCATGAATTTTAATTTGACATTTGCGCATGTGAATGAAAATGTTTTTATTAGCTGATAATTACAATTAATAAGCGCAATTACTTATAAATTGACATTTTAGCCGTACAGCATATAAATGTGTTTAAATATATTTTTTTTAGTTTATACAATATAGAAAGTACAATAATTATTTAATTATATTATAATTTTTATTTTCTGTTTATCATTTGAGTTATATCTTTTGTTTTCAAATTGACATATACACAGCGACTCGAAATTGTGGTCCGGATCAATTTGAATGTGATAATGGCCGTTGCATCAACATAAATCAGAAGTGCGATGGTCGACAGGATTGTCGCGATTATACCGATGAGCACAATTGCAATGGTATTTCATTTTTTTTTCCTTTCTCCTTTCAATTTTCTTTTATTAATTTTAATTGTATAATTTTCTATTATTATTAATTTTTATTAATTAATTTTTTTTCCATTTTTTATACCCGAAAATTGATACAAATTTCCAAATCAAAATATGTGAAAAAAATCTATTTTTATTTGTATTAATTTTTGATTTTAAATAAAATTTCAGTGACATCGTGTCCTGCGGATCAATTCCGTTGTTTAGATGGCACCTGTTTGAATATAGACAAAAGATGCGATGGAATTCAGGACTGTCGTAATGGAGACGATGAAAGCCAATGTGGTAAGTTATCCGCATATATATTTTTTTTATAATTATAAATTTAAATTACAATATTGAAAATTAATTTAACGTTACGTGCATTTTTTTACGAAATGTATTTGATCGAATTTTTAAAAAATAGTTTTATAAACATTTATTAGAGGATTAGTCGATTATATGAGACTATGAAGAATTATTGCACAAGGTGTGGCATTTTCATTAGGCAAAAAGATATATATCTCTCCCACTATATGAAAGTCAAATCAGAGAATATTTTTTTTTTTTTATTCATAAAAATTTTTCTAAATTAGTTTATAGAAAAAAATATCTTATTTATTTAAAAAGTCGTCGTGCTTCTCGTAACTAACTATTTACTAATCGCAAGTCTAATAAATATTGTCTAATTTGCCATATTTTATTATAATATAGAATTTTTTTCCATTTACTCTCAACGACGACGGTTAGAAGGTCAACTTGATTTGTCTTCCTTCAGGCGCTAAAAAAAAAAAGGAAAAATTATTTTATATATGCAATATGCAAATTTTTGACGTCGTAAAATTTTTTTCATTCTTATCGATTCTCACACCACCTATACATTACCCCACCTTGCGTCCGAGTAAATGCATACCTAACTTAATTTATCCGCCATCACGCACGACAGAGCTTTTCAATTTTCCAGTACTTTACACTGACCAAACTCATTGAGACATAGGGATTTTTTCCCAACTAGTTTTTATTTTCATATATATAAGTTTGGGAAAAAGTTTTTCCCTTTTCTTAATTAATAAACTTAGATCACGCAGGAAATTATTATTATTATTATAAAGGAGAGTCACAAAACGGAAATTAATTAAGTTCTCCTATCATGAATGTTGAATGTTTTTGCCAATTTTTTTTTTGTGGGTGGCGGATTTATCGTTTAAATATTAAAAAAAAAAAATGGTGGAGGGTGGGAATTGAAAAAAAAGAAATACTAGCATGAATGTGGTGTATGGAGCAGGTTGCAAAGCTGCGGAATTTAGCTGTGCGGACGGAACTTGCATCGACTATGGGTTGCAGTGCAATGGCTACGAGGACTGTCAGGATGGCTCTGACGAGAAAGATTGTGGTAACTATACCATCGCAAAGTCACGATTTATCCTTCTTTTCCTTACACAAATACACTTGCACCAATTTTTCTTTTTAAAATAAGATAAAAAATAATTTTTTTCTAAAATTTTCTAAAATTTTGGAAAAGAATATTTAGAAAATTTTTACGTTATTAATTACGAAGAAAAAAAAAATTTCTTACACCCCCCTGACTTGCACATGCATACGTAATAATGCAATACACATTCTTGCACTTTTATCGTACAGGCACGAACGCTAGGTAGGAAAAACCCATAAAAAGCCATGAGGAGGGACTTCCTGACTCGAGGCATTTTTCCGGTTTCAAGTTTTGTCTTCGTACTTCTGGCGCATCATTTCTTTTTTTTTATTTTAAAAGTCATTTAACCGATATTTCTTCTTTTGATCAACTTTAAGTTCTCATTTTCTATTTCCTTGTGTATTTTCTTTATTTTATTTTCTGTTTGGAAAATGATCTTTATTTTCTTTTTCATGTAATATTTTTTTTTTCTCCCTTTTCTGTTTTTTTTTTTTTTTGTTTCTTGGCAAGCAATGTGAATCGACAGAAAGGATTTACGGCTTATGCGAACGAAATTGTGACGTAATTACAGAAGCTGAAAGAAAACCATTTCCCTTTATAAGACACCTAACTAGATGAAAAAAAAAAAATTCTACAATGAAAATTAGTCAAATTTTTTGTCCGAAATACTTTAAAAATACTTTTTCCATTAATTAAATTTGATTTGAAATGAAATTCTATTTAAAATTATTTTCAGAGAAATAAAAATTTAATTTTTCTTAATTTCCTCAATTTACTTTAAGATTTGATCCACTTTCAATTTTTTTTTTTTTTCATAATTCTATTTTTAAAAAATATTCTTGATAATAAAAGTATGCGACTATATTTAAAATATAAAAATATATATGTGCAATAAATATTGAATTTACTTTTGAAAATTTCAAAATTCTCTACGAAAGAGATATTTTTCTTTTTTTTTTTTTTCTATAAATATACGAAACCGTTCGTGCCTGTCGATCTTTATTACATGTACTCGTTTTATTTTTATTTCATTGCTGTCGTCATTCTCATACTCATCTCTCACCACGTAAACACCGTGTGACGTTATCGTATATTAGATGAAATTTCAAGGCGAATTACCAAAATTGAAAAAAGTCATAGGAAAAAAAATTCTGGACATGGAACAAAATCAAATATCAAAAAATTTAATTCACATGGATCAAGAGGAAAAAAAAAGAAATTATCATCACAAAAAGAAGAAGAAGAAGAAGAATGGAATTTAAAAAATCAAGATAAAAATCAATCTAATGGAAAATTGGAAAAAAATATTATTATAACAACAAATACAGAATTATCGAGACCATTAAAATCATCAATGATTACTGTTCTTCAACATGAACCTATTTTTGATTATAATCGAACTATTATTCTCACTACAAAATATCAAAAAGAAGATCTTACATCTCTTACTAAAACAACGAATAATAATAATCATAATAATGAAATTTCCAGTAATGCTATTATTAAAATTCAAAGCAAGGATGAAAAATTAAAGAAAAATAAAAAAAAATTAAAAAGAAAACGTCATTTTTCAACGACTACAACCGAAAAATCGTTATCTAGTATTTCGGTATTAAATGTCACAGGGAAAATCAAAGAGAAAAAAAGAGAGAAAAAAAGAAAGAAAGAATCAACAACAACGGAAGTTGTCACAACTGAGGATTTTGGAGTTGTTGTATTTTCGGCATTTAAAAATGATTCACAATTTGCAAGGCAGGAGAATAATTTCAAGGAAAATTTAAAATTGAAAATTCAACAAAATAATAATAATACAAAAGCACAAGAATTGGTGAAAAATAAAAATAATACTATTTCTATTAATAATTCTAAAATAAATAATGATATTATTAATAATACTGTGAATTTACAACAAAACAAGGAAAATAATTTACAAATTAAAGAAAAATCCCACAAATTAAATAAAATGAAAAAAAAATTAAAGGACAAAATTTTGGCCAACGATAAAAAGAAAATGGAAAATTTAACCGATATTGTCGTTGGAAATTATACCGCAAAAGTTGGATCGTCAATTCATAAATATATTACAAAATATAATATCACTTATACTATTCCCAACACTACGGATTTACAAATTATTGATAAAACTAATGATAAAAAACTGGAAAATTATGAAATTTTTACAACGCCAGCTAGTAAGCATAAAAAGAAAATAAAGAAACACAAAAATAAAAATAGAAAAATTAAAAAACCTGAAATCAAAGAAGAAACAAACAAGACGGAGGACAATAAAACGATAATTGAAAAATATGATTTGAAAAAAGAAAATAAAATTTTGAAAAATGATGTAAAATTGAATATTACTTCAAAGCAACAATTTAAAAAATGTGAAATGAAATGTATCAATTTTTGGCGTCAACGTTATGAAAATTTATTAAAGAAAATTACATCAAATGATACTTTACCACCAAGTGAAAATGATATTAATTTTGAATTAAATAATACTTTTCATGATTGTTTGGAACCTATTTTAGAATTAAATAATGAAACATCAAAAATTGCAACAACTGTTAAAACTCATCTGGATAATAAAGAGGAAAACCAAGAAATGCCAAAATTTCAGGAAATGAAGAATAAAACAGAAATTGTCAAGGAAAATGAGAAAAATCAAAATAAAAATGAAAAAATAGTGGATAAAAATATTGAAAAAGAAAAGAAAATTGAAACAAAAAAGTCAAAAAAGAAGGATATAGAAAAACAATCAAATAAAGATGGTAATAAAAGGAAAGAGGGGAAAAAGAGAAAAAAAGGAAAAAAAAGAATTCGAACTACTGTAAAAACAACAGAAATTACAACAATTACACCTGTTGAAAATTTACATGAAAAAATAATTAATTTTTCTTTAACAAATGATCTTGAAACTTCTGAATCAATTAAAAATAAAGCCGATTATAATATAAGTGAAACAAGAAAAGATTTTATATCTACGACTGAATCATTAAAAGTTGGTGGCTGGGATTGGAATTTCGATTCGTTTAAGGAATTTTTTACATTTGACACATCTATGGAGAAAAAAGATGATTTAAATAAAAAAAATGAAAATAAATTACAAGAAAATGTATTTTCATTTAAAAATGAAAATACATTTTCCGAAACAAATGATATTTTATTTAATAATATTTCCACTGAATCAATGACAATTTTAAATAATTATTCGACAATTTCATTTCATGATATAAATTTGTCAACAAAAAATAATTGTGAATTTTCTGATTGTAATAATAATAATAAAAAAATTGGTGCCAATAATTTTACAATAAATAGTACAGAAAAATATTCATCATTAGTAAAAAGAATACGTAAACCTAAGAAAAATAAAGAAAATTGTAAAAAAAATCCAAATTCAGAAAAATGTAAAAAAAATAAAAAATCGAAATTTTCAACAACAATAATAAAAAATGAAATCACTACGGAAAAATATATTGTAACAACAGAATTTCAAAATCGTGAATTTGTCTCAGATGAGGATTTCGATTCAAAGGAGGCGAGAAATAAAAAAAATACAATAATTGCAGATGATGGTCTACAAACAACAAGTAGACTGTGGAAAAAAATTTTACAAACTAACGAGAGTGAGAATGCAATGGAAAGATTGAAAAAAAATGACAAGAGTATTGATAGAAGAAGAGGAAGTGATAAAAAAGAAAATGAAATAAATATTAAGAAAAAAGATGTAAAGAAAAAAAATAAAGTTTACAAAAATGAAACAGATTATTATGAAGATGATGATGATATTGATGATGATGATGATGACGACGATGATGATGACATTGACGATGAAGAATTTGATGATAATAAAATAAATCTCGATGATTATGATACAAATGGCACACAATGTTTTGATAATGAACATTTTTGCGATGGCGTTTGTCTCGATCAAAAATTGAAATGTGATTCAAAAAAACATTGCAGCGATGGTAGTGATGAGGAAAATTGTCATGAAAAAATAAATTTTAATAAAAGGGGCAAAATGATTAAAACTGGTTCAAATAAAATTCTCGAATCAACGATATATGAAAGTCATGAACCATGCCGACCATGGGAACATTATTGCGATGGAAAATGTATTAATTCGGAAAAAATTTGCAATGGATTTTATGATTGCAACGATGGAAGTGATGAGGATTTGCGAAAATGTAGACAAGGTAGATTTTTGAGAAATCAAATATAACTTATGTGTTCGTCCGAATATTCGCTGTATTATAAAAAAAACGGCTTTTTTCCGGTAAGAGGGGAAAATAATTAAAATCCGATAAAATTTTTTGATGCAGGATTTGAAAATTAATTTTTTTTTGAGAAAATAATTTTTTTCTTTTTTTTTGAGAAAAAATATTGCAGAAAAGTGATTTTTAAAAATTTAATTTGAAAATTTAAATCATGTAAATTTGATATCAAGTTATAAAATATTTATCCTACAAATCCTGTGTCAAAAATTCATGTACCAGAGAACGATTGTCCAAGCATCTACTCAAGAATTACATTTGGAAAAAAAAAAATAAATCGAGAAAACAAAAAGCTTCGTGGATTCTATACCACAAAAAAAAAGGAGCTTGGTTTGAGACTGTAAATAATTTACCTGTAAACGCTTGAAATTGTGTGTCGTCTCCGTTTTCTGAAAGTGGTATATATATACATGGGATTAAAAAAATATATATGAAAGTAAACTTCGCTTTCTAGATGTGAAAAAGTTATTTAAAAAATTTTGTTTTTTTAAATTATAAAAATTGTAAAAAAAAAAAAAAAAAAAATTAGGTAGTTTAAAATTAGATTATAATTATGTACATATCGTTAGTGTATTGCATTAGAAAGTAGAATTCAATCCCTTATTTTCTAAATTAAAAAAAAAATACATTTTCCTGTACATATAATTTTACACAAAACTCTCTTTTTTGTGAATAACAAAAGTATAAGCTTTAAATGTTAGAAAGCTTATTAAAGTTCTATGTATATAAGAAACTTTATTGCAGTTTTAAGAGTTACAGGTGCTTTTGATGTATATCAATAATAATATCTCGAATCGTCATTATTCTACATATATTTATGCTGCTCTTAACTGCTTTCAATGTTTTTTCTACGTTCATAATTTTTTTTTTTTTTTATAGTGTTTTCAAACATGCGTCTTTAAATACGTCTTGAGGGTAAAACGATAATCTCATTTCTAAAAAAAAAAAAAATTCACTTCCTTTTATTAATAATTTTCTACAATTTTTTAATTGTAATTTAAAAAAATAAAAATTTTTCAGTTTCATTGGAATTTAATTAATTAATTGAAAATGTAATTGTAAAATAAAATTTACAATATAAGGTTTAAAGATGTGAGAATAGAAATTAGACGCATTGATCGAAAAAACAAGGTGTGAATACGGGTCAAGTATTAATTTAATGAGAATTAATCGAAATCGTTTTACCTGAAAGACACGCAAAGGCGCAATTGTTTGATATGTGAGAAAAAAAAAAAAAGAAAAGGGAATATCTATTTCATTGCCGGGCCCTGTAGGTTTGGCTCCTTGCCCTTCAATGGACTTCACCTGCGAGGATGGCTCTTGTATACCAAAGACCTCGGTTTGCGATGGATACGACGACTGCCCCAAGGCAGAAGATGAGCTTCATTGTGGTACATAATCCTTTCCTTAAAACCATACTTTAGACACCAGAGAAAATTATTTTCTTTTTTTTTTTATTTTCCATTTCTTTGCCGAAGTAAATTATTTTCATTTTCAAAAACAAAGAAATTTAACTTTAATACAATTTATATTAATATAATAATTAGTTATATAATAATAATAATCTAATTAAAAAAAATTTTTTCTAATAATAATAATTTTGTATTCTTTATTTATTATTAATTATTATTTATAAATAAAAAACAGTATTATTATATATAAAATAATTATTATTAATTATTTAATTATTAATTATTATTATTATTATATTAATTAAAAATGTGAATTAGATTTGGTTTTTTTTTTTTAAAAGGAACAATATTTTTTCTCTGGTGACACGAGTTTTCCGAAACCTTGCTTCGCTCGCATTCATGTAGTAGCTGCGCTTTCCCGAAAAAAAATGATTCCCTTAATTTAATCGAATTTGCTCGTAACATTTAACTGTGAAAAAAGAATTTCATTTTTTTTGTTAACGTTTTCAATGAAAAAATTTTTTTCCATTTTTTTTTGTAACAACCACAATTTTTAATATATTATCAAAATTAATTGAAATTGAATATAAAATAGCAAATTGAAATTTAATTTAAAATAGTAAATTGAAATTTAATATAAAATAGTAAATTGAAATTTAATTTCAAATAGTAAATTGAAATTTAATTTCAAATATTAAATTGAAATTTAATTTAAAATAGTAAATTGAAATAATGAATATTTAAATAGTTGCCAGTATAGAAATTAGAAAACTAAAAATTTGTAATTTATCTGTGTGCTCTAACATAATTAGTAACAATATAATAGATATACTAATTTTTATGTAGACAGCTTGTAATGTAGGAAAAGCTTTTTTTTGAAAAAAAAGAGTTCGAAAAGCAATTTTTTGATAAAAAGCAGTAATTAAAATTTTTTTTCGATATCACTTATTTAGATGTAGAAAAATGTATTAAAAAAGACAAAGAATATAAAAAATAATCTTTTTATTATTAAAAAATAATTTATTAAAAAAAAAATTTATTTAAAAAAATTTTTTTTTTTTAATTTTTTGAGAAATATTGAATTTTTTTCACTTTACTGTTATAGTTATGAAATATTTTTTTTTATAATACTCATTGAAATCAGACTGTGTGTATCATTATAATAACATATAGGCTAGTTAGTTTATCTAATGAACAAGACATCACTTTGATGAAGCGAATGCGCAGCCTACATTCATTTGTCATATCTATTATTGAAAGGCTAATTTAATGCGAGTGCCATGTAACTGGAACTTCTCACCATATATTTCTTTTTTTTTTTTCTTTTTTTATAATAATTAGTTTAAAAAAAAAAATAATGATGATTAAAATGATGCGCGCGCGCATTTTAAAATTACGTCATTTATTATTATTTTACGAGATCACGTCAATCATATTAATTTAAAACTTTGGTGCATGCAGAATCGTGATTATATTCAATGAGAAATATTTCAAGTTGCACGTCACTCAAGTGAGAGTGAGTTTCTAATTGATTGAAGTTTATATATATGATCAACTTGAGTCCGTTATATATATATATGAATTCCTTTGATATTTTCCACCAGAAGTAAATAGAATCATCTGGCTATTTTTGAAATAGAATCTTCATTCTCAGAAAATGATCATCTTTAACCTATATTATTAATACTATTAATAGAAAAAAATATTTTTTTAATAATTAAATTTGAAAATTAAAATATTTTAAATTCCCCCTAATTCGCGGCTTTTGCAAAAAATAATTTTTTTCTGTATTATTTTGATTGACAAAAATAATATAACAAAAATTGTTATTTTTTTATAAAATTTGTGTTATTGCTTTTTGCTTTCATTTTTTTTTGTTTGTAAATTTCTGCCAAAAAAAATAGATCGAGATTGTACGCCAACTCAATTCAAATGTGCGACTGGGGGAAAATGCATTGAAGGCATCTACAGATGTGATGGTCATCCGGATTGTCCAGATAAAAGTGACGAGGATTGTCCTCCATTAACACCTAGAGGAAGAGTGTCTTCAACCAGTACGCTATTGCTTTTTTTTTCATTATCATTCATTTCAAAAAGAAAAATTTCGAAAAAATTTTATTTCACTTTTTTTTAAAAAAATATTTTTTGAAATATTTGAAATTATATTTTTTTGCTTTTTAGTTTAAATAAAATATTTTTGGTGTAGTTATATTTTTTTTTTATGCTATTGCCAGAGAAAAATAAATTATTTCTTTTGGTTTTAAAAATTTTTTATTCGAAATATTTTTTTCTGACAATAACATATATTGTAAATAGAATAAATGTGCTTTTGTGTGCTTTTTATCCTATGAAAAAATTTCCCTAAATGTGCAAATATAGACCATACGAGAACATCATGGAATAGTGTACAGCCAAGGAATTGTGATCCAAGGACTGAAATGCGTTGTGACGATGGCCATTGTATTTCCCTTCATCAAAAATGTGACAATAATTTTGATTGTCGTGATCAAAGTGACGAACGTGATTGTGGTAAGGGCCTCGCTTCATTAACAAATTTTTCTCATTTTCCTTTTTTTTTTCATTACCTTTCCAACATTTTCCTGGTTTTTTTTTTTTTTTAAATACTCTAGAAACCTAAGAAATTTTTTTTATTTGTAATTGAATTTTATTCATTGAAATAAATTAAATAAATCACGTTTTCAAAATTTATATTAATATATATATATATATATGAAACTAAATGAGATTATTTTAATATTTGAATGAGAACATGTCTTTACATATGTCGGTAAAATTCTCAAAATAATTTCTCCAATATCAATGTGACAATTTTCATTTTCTTTTTTAATTGCGGAAATATTTTAAATTTAATTATTTAATTTTTTTTTTAAAGTCGAGTAAAAAATCGAAAAGAATAAATTTATAAATGTGCGCTTAAATGTGGAAAATGTCAATATTCAATTTTTTTTTTTTTTATAACAAATTCTTAGAAAGAAAAGCTTTTAGGGTGGAAAAAAATATAATATATAAAAATTAGTCAAGTGCTTTTGCACTCGGGAGAAATTTAATTGGGTCAAATCAAGCGCAAGGCTTTCTTTCAAGACAAACGCATTTTTTTTTTTTTATAGAATATATAATCATTTTTAAGATATTTACAAGTTATTAAGTAGTAGAAAAAAATTTATTGTATTTGATTTTATGTGCAATTATAATAATAATTAATTAAAAATAATTAATAACAAAATAATAATAATAATAATAATTTTTTTTTTATAATTGTAATTAATTTATTATTTCCCTAATAAAATCAGTAGTTGATCTCTTGTTAAGTAGTACAAAAGATTTTAGTCAGACGCGACAAAGTAGTTACAGTTAGTACGCGTCAGACAATATTTTATTCTTTCTGTACGTCTTTTCAATTTAATTTTATTTTTAATAATTTTTCTATAAAAAAAATTTCTATATCTTGAAATTTCCGTAGACATTAAAATAAAATTTGACATTTTCAACAATTTGACAATTTATTGGGTTATTAATTTTTAATTAATTACTGATGCAATTTTTTTTTTTCTTTAAATATAATATCAAACATTGTGCATAATCTATTTTAAAGACTGCGGTCTAGACAAAATAATTACCATATTATCTACTTTTATTTTTTATTATTTAAAAATTACTTTAAATTATTAAATAAGAAGAAAATAATTGTCGAAATTGCAAGAATTTTTTGCGAAATTATGGAAATTTATAATTTTATTTTTGATATTTATTTAGCGAATATTTAAAAAAAAAGATTTCAAATAATTTTTCATTCAGTGACATATATATTTATAATGAATTTATTAATTATAAATTAATTACAAATAATTGTAATTATTTATAATTATAATTAATTAGAAAATTAATTATAAATTATAAATAATGAAATTAATTATAAATTATAAAATTAATTATAAAAAAAAATTTTTGGAAACGTGAGCGCATGAAAATAATAACTGCTTTTTTAAAATAAATAATTAATTTAAAAAAAAATATAAATGCTGATTGGTGTTTTTGAAGCTTGTTGTCAGCTTTTTTTGTGTGTATGTCGCAAAAGGAGTCTGCGTTCCTGGGGAATGGAAATGTATGAACAACGAATGTATTCTGGAAAGCGAAAGATGCGATGGGTTGCTTCAATGTGTGGACGAATCAGACGAAATTGGTTGCGGTAATTATAAAATGCTATACAAAAGTTATAAAAGTTTTTTAATTACTTTTTTTTTTTTTGCTTATACTCCCATCTATACTGCAACCATCACACACCTTTAATTATTATTATTATTTATCAGAGAAGAGCACAGTTTATTAAATTTTATTCACTAATAACTGGTATACAATATATAATTTTACATACGTGGTACTTATACGGAAAATTTTCAGAAAATATTTTCATATTTTCAACACTCGCATTTAATATTAGTCAAATTTTAATTATCCTTGTTTTTCCAAAAACAAAATATTATTTATAATAATGAAATATTATTTTAATTTATATATGTAAAATTAATTAAATTAATTATTTCATTGTTAATAATAATAATGATGGTTGTAAAATCATTCAGGTATAAAAAATAATTTATAGAATTTATTTTTGATATAATGCGGGAAAAATGTTCATGTATTTTATAATAATAAAACCGAATAATGAACTTAAAAATGGACACTGAAATTGGAACATTAAATCAATAAAATTATGTATATTTTTGAATTTCATATAAAAAAAAAATTGGGATAAAAGAAATTCACGTATTTTCGTGATATGATGATTTATTTTTTATTTTTTTATGCATGAAAAAAGGGTAAATATTTTTTTTTAAAATTACTTTTTTTCTAACTCAATTATTGTACTTACATTCTAATTTTTCTTATGCTCTCGGAATGACACGCACCCATAAAATTTCGCATGTATCTCGTAAATATTCGAAAAATTTATTCCTTTTCTCCCTTAAATTTAAAATAATAATCGAACGCGGATTTAGATAATAAAATTTTATTTCTTGGCATACACAATAAAAATATATTTTTTACAATTTTGTGAAACATTTTTTTTTTTATAGAAATATTTACATAATTATTTTATGTTTGTGTGCTGTTTAAATATTTTACAGGTGCATACAAATATTTATTCTACAAACAAGAAATAATTAATTAATCTATAAATTTTCATTTTTGTTAAAATTTTTCGTTGAAATATTATTTTTCATATATTTAATTTTATACAAGGATCTACTTTTCTTCTATGCATATTGGATGCTTGAGCACGTTTTAAAATAGAAATTTATTGTGGTTCTTCATTTCTTGACTCGATTATGTCACCATTGAGTGGGTTTGTGAGAAAAAAAAATCAAAAAAAAAATTTTTTTTCCCCTATTACTCCTGAAGCACTGATAATGTTAGAAATGCATATTATAACTATATAATCCACATGGTTAAAACTGTCTTTATCTTATATAAATTTATTCCCTAGAATGTATATATATTATATTTCCATGAGTTGGTCTTCATTGAAATGAAAAATTTTACCGAATGTTTTTTTTTTTTATAATCTCGAATGCACTTTGAACTGGTTTGATTATTACCCTTTGTCTGTTTTTTCAGCACAGGTTGCCTGACTGTACATATTATGATATATTGTATATTATATATTATAAATTTTTTTGTAAATAAGATGTTAATTAAAAAAAAAACAATGGGATCGTATTTGTTTAACTGTTTATTGTTTCAATATATTGGGAATTAATATTAAAAAGCAATGTGCACGATTTTTTTTTTATTTTTTTCACTTTTTTATGTTTTGTAAACAATTTTTTTATTTTTATTATGATTAAATTTACTTTTTTAATGTAAAAAAAAAATTATTTTTTTTTGTATATATTTTCATATATTTTTTTAATTTGAATTTATTTAATGAAACGTGCACTTGACTAATTTTTTTGTGCTATTAGAAAAATATATTGAAATCTCACATTTAATTTTTATAATTACAGAATGTAAAAATGACGAAAGAATGTGCGCTAATGGTATTTGCATCAAAGCTGACTTTTTCTGTGACGGAAGGACCGATTGTTTAGACGGAAGTGACGAGAGAGATTGTAGTAAGAATTTTTTAATTATTTTTCACAATTTTCATTTTAATTAGATTCTATGAAAATGTTTTTTTTTTATTAACAAAATTTTCACGCAGAATATAGCTGGTAAATTGTTTTGTATATATATTTTAATATAAATTAGTAATTTATTAATAAAAATTAGTAAAAAAATTTTTTTATTATTTTGTGATTTAATGACTTATTTAATTAATTTATTGAAATAGTAAAATTTTTTTTTTCACAGAAAATCACAACGAAATTCCAAGTTATCCAAGTTGTTCACCTAATGAATTTACATGTGCCGATGGATCTTGCATTCCAAGCTCGTATGTTTGCAATCATAGGCCTGATTGTTCAGATAGTTCTGATGAAATAAATTGCCGAGGTAAATTTTATTAATTAATTGTAAAAAATTGCACTTGATTTTTTTTTTTTTTTTGGAAAATAGAAAATTATTCTCACGAAATTATTAGCCTTGTGGCACGATCACAAAAAAATGAATTGCATAATAGATTATGTAGACTTGTAGTGAGATGAAGTGCCTTAATGCTGCAAGAACCAGCTAACCATGGTGTTAAATGTTTTCAAATTATTTAACATTCTTTTATTTACAGATACATCAAATTAAAATTAAATGACAATAATAATTTTTCAAATTTAGATTTTATATATCTAAAAAGTGTATTTAATAATTTTTTTCAGAGATTTTAAAACAGTTTTATGTAAAGATGTAAAAAAAAAATTCAATTTTTATTGAAAAGTAGATAAAATGAAATTAATTGAAAAATAAATATTTTTTTTATATAGATTTTTTTGAGTGATAAAAAAATGATTTCTTACATAACACTGTGGTTCAGATCGGGTTACTTCTAGGTATAGAAGCTCCGGATAAAACCTCTTCAATGGGGCATCCTGAGAATGTGGTGGTAGCCCACCAGAGTCCGGATATTGGGTTTTTCAGCCCAAGTACAGGTGCTGATAACAATCTACTGACAACAATTCAAAGTACAACTAGGACTTGTATAACGGATGATTTTATTTGTGCCGATGGCACTTGCATTCCCAAGGCCCATCACTGTGACCATTTCTACGATTGTCGCGACTTTAGCGATGAACAGTACTGCTTTGGTTAGCCAATCTTTATCCCCGATAATCTGCTGGCATTCGAAAAAAAAAAATTTCAATATAATTATTTTTTATAAAAAAATTTTCTTAAATTTTAGTTTCAATATGAAAAAATAAATTTCAAATAATAGAAGGGATTTCAGAAAAATTGTAAAGAAAATTTTTTTTCAACTTTTGAATAATTTTTATTTTTTTGAAAAAGTACAATTCACTTTTGATCTATATATGATAGAAGAAAATTGTAAATAATTGATAAATATTTTAAAAATAAAAAATTTCTTGAGAGAAAAATATAAAATAAATTTTGAAAAATGAAATAAAAAAAAATGCCTCGGATTATCTTGGTGTTACGTCGTTTCCTGTCAATCTGTGTTAGCAGCCGAATAGACAATGTGTAGGTTGTTGACGTTGAAGTAGAAACTTGCATAAAAATCTGGTCCTGCAGATTCAAATGTCAAGTTTGTCAGATTATTGGTATCACAGAGGAATTTTTTGTAATCGATAGTGCATCTTTGCCTGGTTTTAAGTATATATATATTTCTTTTTCCGTAGGTGTAGAATTTGTTTTTAGAATCCATTCGCACAATTTGTGATATTTCTTTATTAAAAAAATTTTTTTTTTCATCTTAACAATAAAGAAAAAATACGATACAAATTGAGAAAATGGACAAAGTAGAAAATAATCGAATTTTCATCATCATTAAATTTCATCAAAAAAAAAAAATTCTGGTAGCTATTCATATTTTCATGTCATAAATTAGAAATAATTTTTTCGTATTTGTGTTATGTTCTTATTATAAAGTCGATAATTTTTTTTTCTCAAATATTTATGATAATCTACCTTATTGAAGCATAGTTTAAATTTTTTTACAGGAATGATATATTTTGTGAAAGTATAGATTATCATGAATTGTAATTATGAGATCTGGATGTTGTAGAAACTTTCAGTAAAGAGTAATGTATCATTCATAATTCATGATTTTATAAACATGTCTCGTTAATTCAAAAGGTGCGCAGAAAAATTCGTTGTCTATTTCTTTATAACCAATTGAATATTCATTATTTATTGAAAATAGTGTACATTAATTAAAAAGATAAATCAGGTGTGTGTAAATAGACTTTTTTTTTAAACAAATTCTCAAAATAATTTTATTATTTAGAGAAAAATTGTATTTAAATTTTTAATTATTTAATTTTTGGAAAAAATTGTATTTTTCTAAAAATAATACGTATTTATCATATTTGAGTAATTCCGATTTATAATAGATGTTAGATCGTTTTCTTAGTCAATAATGGTGGAATTTCTTTTTATGTGCCATTATTAATTGTATTTTTTATGTGATATGTTTATCTCTATACAGTCTGTGCTCGATTAATATATTATATTTATATTACTTTTGTGAAAGAGTTTTATTTAAATTTTTCACGAAATTTTGAAATTAATTTAAAAATGACTTTTTCTAGGTTGCACTCGTGATCAATTTCAATGTTGGAGTAATGGTGTTTGTATTCATGGAAGTCAGAGATGTGACAGAATTTACAATTGTGATGATGGTTCTGACGAAACTGATTGTCGTAAGTCTATATGTGATAATTAAGTAAATTTTTTCAGAAATATATTAACTAATTTTCTTTTATTTTATTTATTTGTGATTAATTTAGAAATTTTTCTTTATTTTTTTTTCAGCGAATATTGAAGAAACAACACGACCGGGAGCTCATCCCATGCCAGGCTGTCCTGGAAAATTCATGTGTCGTTCTGACAATACGTGTTTGCCTCTATCTGCTCGTTGTAACGGAATTACGGAATGTAGAGATCGCTCCGATGAAGATCATTGTGGTAAATATAATAATAGAAACAAAAATAATAATCAATTTCACTTAGGAAAAATATATTTATTTTTTAAATGTATAAAAATACTAATTCTTTAAATCAAATCAAAACTGTTTTGATATTTAGAAAATTAGAAAACATTTTTCAAAATTTTTTTAATTTATATTACTAATTTTTTTTTTGTAAATTAAGAAAATTTTACAATTGGAATTAATTTTATCATGATTGTCTGAAAAAGAATGTCAACCTGACCATTGGAGATGTGAAAAAGGTCCTTGTATTCATATATCATTGAGATGTAATCATATGATAGATTGTCCTTATGATAATTCGGACGAATTGGACTGCGATTTCTTTGATAGTGAGTTGTTATGAAAAAAAAAAACAAAATTCACAGGAGTGTTTCGATATTTTTAATAATTGCAACCCTTTTTTTTTAATATGGAAATGTTTTTTTTAACTATATAAAATCTATCTTAGCTTTGTCTCAAAATACTCTCTCTAATTTTCTTTATTCAATTCTAAACATTTTATAGGTATTAAAAAAAATAATGATACTATTTTAAAAACATTTGCCTTGCCTATAATTTTTTTTCTCTTTTTTCTCTCACCTTTCTTCTAGATCTTCTTTTTCTTTCTGTATGAATAATTTAAACTTTTACTTGAATAAATTCTATTTAAACATATATGTAGGGTAAATGCGAGTAATTCCGATTATTTGGCAAAAATATAATCATTGCGAATTTGTGAGTTTCAAATTTTAATAATTCTTTAATTTAATTATTCAATATAAAAAAAATAAAAATATTTTCTTCTTTAGTTTTTAAATTTATAATATCTGACTGATGACCAAAAATAGAGACAGTTGTCCGACTTCTACAAATTTTTATCCTTTCTTATTAAAATGCTTATATTTTATTAAATATTGAAATATTTTTAGCAAACATTTGACATTATATTTCTAAATAAGTTCTTTAATGAATAATGTGATACAAAAGGTTGTAGATATTTTTTATTTCAAGACAAGAAAAAAGGGATTACCTTAAAATCGTGCCTGACTACTTCCGCTTTTACCCTATTTAAATTATTTATATTAAACAAAAATATTTCTTATTTAAAAAATAACTTTAATAATTATGCAAATATTTTAACAATTTAATAAAATTATAAAAATATAAAATACTAATTTTGTAAATTAAATTACAGGTAACTCCTCCTTGGCCGATTTGGATTTAAAAACATATCCAAGTGAACAAATTATCAAAGAAAGTAAGTATTTTCATTATTTGATAATTATATATAGTTTTTAACTTATTCTATCCTTAATCGAAAATAGAATGTTTTCTTCAAGTGAAGAAAAGTGAATAATTAATTTTATTCTCACATTTAAATTGCACAGAAATAGTATTTGAATTATTTTAGGAGTATAAAAATAATATAATATTGATTTTCATTTGGAAATTTTTTATTTAGAATATTATATTCAGAGAGGAAATCAAAATTTATTTAATAATTAATATATTTAGTATAAATTATATTAAAAATTGTAATAGCGAAAAAAATGTTTTTTCCATTTATTTATTAATTGAATGTTTGTTTCTTTGTTTTTCGCTACGGCCAGACCCAGCGAAATTAGGTAAGCCTGATTTTAAAAAGATATTGAAAAATCATGCTATATTAGTTCATGTGGGTATCATTTCAAAAAACTTTTTTTTTTATTCACAGTTGAGAAACAAAATTTTGTTATAGGATTTTTTTTTTGTCACTTTGAAACATTGATTTGAATATTAAAGAATAAAAATAAATTTTAATACACGTATTCATTATTTTTTATTTGGAAAAAAAAATTCTTTATATTATTATAGTTATGCAATTTTTTTTTTTTATTTAATGTTGTAGCTTTAGCTGTCATGTATTCTTGCAACACAAACATTGTATTATATTTTTTCACTGAACACATACATATTCACACTAACATAGATAAAAAAAAAAGGTGAGCCTTGAACGCAATCAGAATAAAAACTAATGTTGCCTGCAGGAGAAAGAGAGAGAAAGAGAGACATTAAAAAAGATCATTCCGCTCAGATTTTGTAATAAAAATATTTAAATTTAAGCATGACATCGCATGAACTATATGGAATTTCTTTAAAATGGGGTGACAGACGTTTTGTCAGTATATAAAAAAAATCTTTTCATGAGATGAAAATATAATTAATGGTTTATTGAAAATAAAAATTTACATTACTTTTTTTTAATTTATAATAGAAAAATTGAATTTTATGTTTAAATTTATTGTTTTATTACATTTATTTAACATTATTACATCTTGTACATTTTTATTATTCATATATATCAATTTTACAAAAGGGCAAAAGGGATTTTATTTTCTTAAAAAATTAATTTAAATTTTTTATTTTAAATAGGTCGAGAAGTTGTGTTCCAATGTCGTGATGAGGGACCACTTCGATCTAAGGTTCGTTGGATCAGAGGAAATGGTTTACCACTACCACCAGGCAGTACAGATGTTAAAGGACGTTTGGAAATTCCAAATATTCAACTCGAACATGCTGGAATTTATGTTTGTGAAGCAATTGGACATTATCATAGTCCGGGAAATCAGAAAATTGTTAATCTTCAAGTTGAAAAGTGTAAGAATTTTTAATATTCAAAAATTAATAGGAAAATTAATTAATAAAAAAATATTTTTCAGTTGAATTTCCAACAAATCGACCACCACAAACTTGTGGTTATGATCAAGCAACATGCAGCAATGGTGAATGTATTCCAAAATCCAAAGTTTGCGACGATGTTTTCGATTGTTCAGACGGATCTGACGAAATGAGATGCAGTAATTATTTTATAATTTTTTTTTGAAATTTTTTGTTTAAAAAATATTTTTTCATTTTTTTTTTTAAATTACAGAGAAATATGGTTGTGAACCAAATGAATATCGTTGTGCGAATAAACAATGCGTAAGTAAATTGTGGCGCTGCGATGGAGATAAAGATTGTAGCGATGGAAGTGATGAAGAAAATTGTGCGCCAACACCTCCTGGTTCACCATGTCGAAACAGTGAATTCCAATGTAGAAGTCATAATCAATGTATACCGAAAAGTTTCCATTGTGATGGTGAACGCGATTGTCAGGATGCAAGTGACGAACTCGGATGCTGTGAGTATTGAATTTAAAAAAATATATATAATAGAAAAATATAATTTTTACAAAAATGTCAATTTTTAGCTCCCGTCTACATCACAAAACCACCTCAACCAATGGTGATACTAAAACCAGGAGACGTTATGATTCTGACTTGTACAGCAACTGGAATTCCAATTCCGGAAATAAATTGGCGATTAAATTGGGGTCATGTACCAGCAAAATGTACATCTACATCAGTAAATGGAACCGGAACTTTAACATGTGAAAATATTCAAATCTCCGATCAAGGCGCCTATTCTTGTGAAGCATTAAATATCGCTGGTTTTGTATTTGCTGTACCCGATGCAATACTTGTTGTTAAACCGGAAGGTGAAAGAATATGTCCACCTGGAAAATTCAATGCCGATGCCAAGACACCAGATGAATGTATTTCGTGTTTCTGCTTTGGAGTTGCAACCGATTGTCGAAGTGCTAATTTATTTACCTATCAAATTCCACCACCTTTCGATCGACACAGAGTTGTTAATGTTGACACATCATCGGAAATTAAAATTGGAGCCGATGCTGATCGTAATTTAATTGGTGTGCAACCAATTGGTATCGATGGTGCACAATTAATTTCCTCGTATTATAATGAACTTAATAATTATAATATTCCTTATTTTGCCCTACCGGAAGTATTCCGTCACGAACAATTAAAATCCTATGGTGGTTATTTGAAATATACGATTAGATACAGTGGTAATGGAGTGCCAAATGAAGCGCCAGCGGTAATTTTGACAGGAAATAATATTACTCTAATTTATAAGGGTAAAGAAGTATTGCCACATTATGATACTGAGGAGAGTGTTCGTTTCTTTGAGGGTTATTGGCAGAAGAAATTGGGAAGATACGAGGAGCTTGCGACACGAGCGGATATTATGATGGTTTTGCAAAATGTTGGCGAAATACTCATTAAGTAAGTGTTTTTTTTTCTTTGATTAAGAAATTATTTTATTAATTTTTTTTTTTCGTTTACAGAGCCAAATATGAAGATTCGCCAGAATTGGATGTGACGATTACAAATATTGTTTTTGATTCTGCGGATGCAACGAATACGGGTCTTGGTTCTGCTGCTTTTGTCGAGGAATGTATGTGTCCTTCGGGATATTCTGGTTCATCTTGTCAATCGTGTGCCTCGAGTCATAGAAAAATTCAAAGTGGTCAATTTTTGGGTCACTGTGTACCGGACACTGTGGAAGTTTGTCCACCAGGATATTATGGCGATCCTTCGAGAAATATTCCTTGTCAACTTTGTCCCTGTCCACTTACAAATCCTGATAATCAGTACGTTTATTTTTATTTAATTCCTTTTTTTCTATTTTATTTTTGTTTTTAAATTTTTTTTGTTTAGACACGCTCGAACGTGCCGTCTTGGACCACGTAATGAACCAATTTGCGATTGTCCTGCCGAATATACTGGCGATCGTTGTGAAAAATGTGCAGCTGGATTCCAGGGCGATCCTTATAGAGGCAAATGTATACCAATAACGGCAGCATGCGATCCAGCAGGTAGTCTCAGTAGTTACGTTGATCCTCGAACGAATTCATGTCGATGCAAGGTAATAATAAAAATTTCTTTTTAAAAATTAAATTAATATCAATAATTAATAAAAAAAATTATTTTTTTACTATCTGCTTAATTATTTGGAAACAGTAAGTAATGATAATTTTCTAAAATACCTATCTAGAATTGGTACTTTTATTAAATAAATTTTTTTTTTCTTTTTAGCCACATACAACTGGTCTTTTGTGCGATGAATGCAAGGATAATGCTATTCGTCTACCCTCGTCGAAACATCTAAGATGTCTTTCTTGCTTCTGTATGGGTGCCACTAATAGATGTGTTGGTTCCAATTTATATCGAAGCGAGGTAAGAGAAAAAAAAATTTTTTTATTTTAAATATTATTTTATTTATATATATATAATATTCAATTTTTTAGATTCGAGTAACGTTCTCTTCATCTACAAGAGATTTTTCTTTGGTTGAATCAAGATCACCAAACGCTGAACCTATTGTTAATGATTTGAGAATTGATGCAGTTTCACGTGAAATGATTTATAGAAATTTCCCCAATCGTGGCAATAATGATGTTTATTATTGGCAATTACCGAGTATTTTCTTGGGCGATAGAGTAACATCTTATGGTGGTAATCTTAAATATACAGTTAGATATATGCCATCTCCTGGTGGGCAAAGTTCACGAAATAATGCTGCAGATGTTATCTTGATGAGTGTAAGCAATATTTTAATTAATTAATTAGTCATAGGGACCAAAAAAATATGATATTTTTACTATTCCTACAATTAATTTATTTAATCAATACTTTTTTATTCTTCTTCTCTCTTCTATATTTATGAATATTTATTAATTTCAGTCAAACAGTGAATTAATATTGCTTCACTATGCATCAAATAATAGAACGAGTTCAGCTGATTTTAATACACAACAAACATTTACTGTTCCATTGTTAGAGGAATATTGGCAACGTGAAGATGGCACAAAGGCTGACAGACAATATTTGTTGGTAGCATTGGCCGATGTTAAAGCAATTAGAATTAAAGCAACTTATACAACACACACTGATGAAGCTGCGTGAGTAAAATAAATTAAATTTCAGTATTTTTTATTTTTAGAATAGAAATTTCTTTAGTTATTGAAATTTAGGATAAATAAATTAGAAATTGGAAAGTTTTTTAATTGTCGTTTATAATAATAAATTTTTGCAGTCTATCCATGGTTTCGCTTGATACAGCAGAAAGATTTAACACCGGAAGAGATCGTGCTCCAGAAGTTGAGGAATGCAGTTGTCCAGCTGGTTACAAAGGTTATTCTTGCGAAGATTGTGATTTAGGATATACGAGAGTTGCTGAGGGAATATATCTTGGAAGCTGTGATCCTTGCAATTGTAATGGACATTCTAAATATTGCGATGCCGAAACAGGTGTTTGTAAGGTAAATGAAAATTACAAATAGTAACAAAAAAAAGGTCATGAAAATATAAAACAATAATTTTGTGAACAAAATTCTTCAGAACTGCGATCATCACACAACTGGCGATCATTGTGAATATTGTGAACATGGATACGAAGGGGATGCAACTCGTGGTTCTCCACACGATTGTCAACAAAATGGTACCATAACACCAAGTTGTGATCCAGCAGGATCGGAAAATGGTTTATTAGTTGGCGATCAGTGTATGTGTAAACGAAATGTCATTGGTCCACGATGTGATCGTTGTCGTCCTTCAACTTTTGGTCTCTCGATAAACAACACCGATGGATGTAATCAATGTTTCTGCAGCGGTGTTTCCAATCAATGTCACGAAAGTTCTCTCTATATTCAACAATTGCCAATATTTATTTATGATAATAGCAACAAATTCATACTTACCGACAGGTAATTTCTTTTTTTAATTCTAAAAATATTTCTGTACTAATATTAAAAAAAAAAAATATTTCAGCTCAAGACAAAAAGTCATCGATACAGTGTTTGATTTAAATATTGCAACAAATGAAATTGGTTACCGTTATTCGGGTTCACGTAGTCCCAGACTATATTGGTCCCTTCCAAAAGAATATACAGGCAATAAATTGACAAGCTATGGTTCAAATTTAATTTTAACTCAACATATTATAACACAACCGAGAGCGCGTACTTATTCAGATCAAGATGTCATTCTCTTTGGAAATGGTATAACTCTTTATTGGAAAAATTCCCGTGATTTAGTTCCTGGCGTTAAAATGGTAAGTTATTCAAAGAAAAATTCAGTTTTTAAAAATTTGATTTTAATTTTTCCTTTGCCTTTTTTTTAGACCTACAATGTTCCGTTTAGAGAATCGGAATGGTATCGACTAACTCAAGAAGGTCCACGTCGTGCTTCAAGAATTGATCTAATGACTGCTTTAACCGATGTCGAGGCAATATTAGTTCGAGCTACACATAGCGAAGAAATGATTGGCACTTATATTAGTGATATTATTTTGGAATTTGGAAGTCAATCTTATGGTTCACAGCGAGCAACACAAGTTGAAATTTGCACATGTCCCGAGGGTTATGATGGTAATTCATGTGAAAATTGTAGAAGAGGATATTTCAGAAGTAAAAGTGACAGATCAAGAAGTCTACTTGGCAATTGTGAAAAATGTCCCTGCAGCAATAATGAATTAAGTTGTGATTTAAGTCGCACTGGTCAAGTTATTTGTCACTGTGCACCGGGATACACTGGACATGATTGCTCTCAACTTCGTAAGTAGATTTATTAATACTAATTTAAAACATTACTAATAATTGTACATAATTATTGTAAATATTATTTTAAGGCTGAATAATTATTTACAGCAATTAATCTTTGAAAAAAATTAAAATTTTTAATTTTTACTAATTTGAGAAATAGTAGCTTATCTAAATAGCTTGAGTTTTTTTTTTTCCTAATGAAATTTTGCATGAATTAGACGAGCTCAGGGTAGGTCTTATGCCCGTGAATGTTGAAATGTCACCAAACACTGTCGTCAATTTCACATGCAATTATGAAGTACTGGCGGAAAAATTTAAGATCATTTTCAATTTATCATCATTCGAGGGAAAACCAATAACAGCTAAGGGTTTAAAACTTAGTCATATGCATTGGACTAGCTATGGTGGCTATCGATATTGGAGTGTCAACATTGGAAGAACTCCATGTCTTGTCGAATGTTTTATATTGGATAAACAGGGCAAAGAACTGGCTCGGATCATGACGTCTGTGAAACCAGGTTTGGCGGACTACGGGAAGGGTTTTCGTATTAGTGTCCGTCCCTGGGGAATCTTTTCGGAATTTGGGAAAATTTAACTGCTTTTCTTTTCTCTCTTTCTAAAATTATTCTTTTTCTCTTTGCTAAGGAAAAGAGGCAATTTAAAAAAAATCTATAGAATCTAAAAGCTTTTGTCATTTTTCAAAATTTGCTTATGTGATCGTTGATGCTAAAAAAAGTTCTGTTTACTTAAAATTATAGTTTTCTAATTTATTCATAAAATACATTTCGAAAAATTCACTTTGAAAAAATAGAATTTATTTTCTATAGCTATGTGCACTTGTGTATATATTTATGTTGATATGATTCAATATCACTGGCGATAAAATAACATGTTTTTTCCATCATTTCTGTAAACAGGTTTTCCTGATTCATCCCGTAATCAAACAATAGACACTGGATATCCTCCGGAACCAACAATAACTGTCGAAATTACAGAACCTGCATTCCAAATAGTTCAAACTGGAAATACGGTCACATATCATTGTTCAGGAAAATCTAAAGAATCCGTAAGATATTGAAATTTCTTCTCTTTAGTTGAGCTTTTTTTGGGGGGAAAATATTTTTAATTATTAATTTATTTCAGAATCAAGTTCGAATTAAATGGGAAAAAGATGGTGGAAGACTACCTCCTGACAGAAGTATCGATGATGAAAGTGGAGTGCTGGTCATACAAGATGTAACCGTATCGGACAGTGGTGTTTATATTTGTCGTGTTACCGATGGATACGAAGTGGCAACAAGTAACGTCACTCTCTCCGTTGGAGGTAGATATTCTATTTAATTTCAATAATTGAAATTTTTTTTGTAGATTTACCAAAAAAAGAAAAAATCTATTTTTATTTTATTCCAGTATCTGAACCAACTGAACCCAGAGCTGAAATATCACCACGTTATAAAGAAGTCCATGAGGGTGAAAATTTTGAATTCCGTTGTCAAGCCACTGGATATCCACAACCGGAAATAAGATGGACCCGAGCAAATGGTCCACTGAGTCAAGAAACAAGAATTCACGGCGGTGTTTTAAGATTCACAAATGTAAGAAAGAGCGATGAAGATGAATACAAGTGTATTGCTAAAAATAGCGAAGGTGTTACTGAAGTAACAGGTGTATTGTACGTTAAAGGTAATTTTCATTTCACATTGAATATTAAAATTGAATATTATTTTTTCTTAATTTAAAAAAATTTTTAAATATTAATAATTAAATTTTTTTTATTTTTAGATTACGCTGAACCGACTCATTATCCGCATTCGCCGATGAATATTACACTTCAACCGACTGAATGGACAGGAAGTAGTGGCGATACTGTGCGTATAACATGTTCAGCTTCAAGAAATAGTCGAGTAACATGGACACGTTCGGGAAAAATTCCACTGCCCTATTCAGCGACTCAACATAATGGAGTTTTAATAATTCAAAATCCAATGCCAAATGATTCTGGTGTTTATGTTTGTACAGCAGTTAATTATGAAGGACAGGAGAAAAGTGAACAGGCACGAATAACAATTGTTCAAAGACAACAGGAGGTTCCAGTTGTTAAAGCACAACCCGAACGACAAACAGTTTCACAGGGTACTAATGCTGAAATAAGATGTATCGTCTCTGGTGAGCAGGGAATGCATTTCAAATGGACAAAACATGGTGAAACTTCACTTGGACCAAATGCTCAGGAGATGGGTGATACTTTGAAATTCCATAATATTCAAGTACACGATCGAGGAATTTATATTTGCCGTGTTAGTAAAGCGAGAACTAGTTATGAAGCTAGCGCTATGATCGAAGTTGAACGTAAGTAAATAATTTTTAATTTACTATTTTTAGAAAATTTAATTTTCTATCATTTCTTTTTTTTTTCACAGAACGACAATCTCCGATTGTGGAATTATATCCAAGTAAATTACAAACTGTATTAATTGGTGGTTCAGCGGATATGCAATGTCGTGCCCAAGGTCAACCCACACCGGAAGTACATTGGTCACGTGAAGACGGTCGATTATTCTCACATAATATTGAACAATTACCAGGAGGACTTTTGAGACTAACGAATATTAGTTACAATGATGAGGGTCATTATGTTTGTACAGCAACAAATTCAGTAGGAAGAGCAACATTAGCTTCAGAAATTGTTGTTCATTCACGACCAATTATTACCATTAGTCCAAATAGTGGAATTTTAAATGTCAAAACAGGAGATAGAGTGAAATTGATTTGCTCAGCTGTTGGTAAACCGCAGCCAAATATTGTTTGGACCAAACGAACGGATTCGTCATTCATGTAATTTTTTTTTTTAATTTGTTTTAAAAAAAAAAAAAAAATTGGAATTTATTTTTTGCCTTTTTTCAGGGATCCATTCAGTCGATCGGGAAGTAATGCGGTTTATGAGATTTATTCTGTTTCACTGGACGATGAAGCAACTTATACGTGTCAAGCGACAAATTCCGCGGGTGTTTCAGAAGAAAGTGTACATATTAAAGTTGATGAGGATATTATTGATCAACCACCAGCGCCCTGTCGGGGAGATCAACCATGCAATGAGGATATTTCTTATCCACCTTCTGTAAATATTTAAAAAATTAATTTCATTTTCTTTAATTTTTTTTTCTTTGACAATTTTTCTTTAAATAGAATCCCAATTCGGCGGTGGTGATTGAAGATACATTCAATAAAATACCAACTGGAGGAAAAGTTGAATTACGTTGTCAATTAAAAGGAAGAGATGTGGAGCACATTTATCTTGATTGGAAGAGAGGTGAACATCTTCAATTACCAGAGGGAAGTACAATTCAAGGTGGAATATTAACTATACCAGTTGTGACAAAAGAAGCTGAGGGAGAATACATTTGTCTTGGTCTTGATCATCATGGTTCAGTTTTATTCGAAGCGAAATCAATTCTCGAAGTTGTTTGTTAGTAAAAAGAATTATATTCTTTTTTTAATTATTATTTTATTATTTTTAATGAATTTTTTGCTTTTTAGCTGTACCTAGAATTGAATTAAATCCAACAAAACAAATTGTTCGTCCTGGTGAGAATCCGAGCATATTGTGTCGAGCAACAGGTGACGAGCCTCTTAAAATTGAATGGAAAGCAGTTGGTCGTGAAATGCCTAATTCAGTAACGAGAGATCGTGGTTATATTAAATTCCACGGAATTACTTATTCCGATGCAGGAAGATATGCCTGTATTGCCACAAATTCAGCAGGAAGTGCTAAAGCTGTTGCAGAAGTTTTAGTTAATGGTACATAAAATTGTTTCACGTTTTTAACGATTTTTTTAACTTTTCTTTATAATTTTTTGAATTTTTATCTTAGAAAACGAAGGAAATGTAGTTCGAGCCTTAGAGAGAGATATATCGACATTCGCTGGAAATACGGTTAGATTGAGGTGTGTTGTTCAAGAAAGAGCTGTTATTCAATGGAGCCGAGAAGGTCAACCTCTACCAACAAATTCACGAGCAGGTGATGATTATCTAGAATTATTCTACGTTCAACCAGAAGACAGTGGACAATACACATGCAAAACGAGTAACGAAAATGGTGTATCGAGCGATTTTATAAACTTAAATGTCAGCCGTAAGTAAAATTTAAATAAAATTATTTTAATTTTGTTTTCTATGAATTTATTTAAAAGCAAGTTTCGCAGTGAATATAAATTGGCTTTTGAAAATTTTTTGGCTTTCGCCTATTTCTGCATTGCATCATTTAGCTTCAAAATTACAAAAATAATTGTAAATATTAAATTGATCAAATTTAAAAAAGACTTCACTGTTGGAATCTGCAATTAATTTTTTTTTTTTTTTAATTAAATTTAAAATAAGACTAACACAGTTCACAATGCTTTTCATTCTATTAACAAAGAAAAAAATTATGTGGGATTGAATATATAATTATATATAAAGAAAAAATAAATAAAAATTACGACAGGATCATCGCTACCATGGTTTCTATCAAGTCAAATTCTCGTCAGATTAGGTTTTTTAAAAAAGCTCGCGTTATTATTTAGTAGTTAATTTGCTTGCGGATTGCATGCCAGTATACCGATCGCAGTGCAGACAGGGGGATTATCAATGCAGAAGTCTACTATGCATTCCGTTGGATTACTTTTGTGACGGCTATGCACAGTGCATCGACGGTACTGATGAACGCTTCTGCCGCATCACGCGATTCCGTCAAATTCTTCAACAACGACGTGGTTTGTTTTGAGTTCTGTGTATCGTGTGACGTCCATATTATATATATATATATTTATATATTTTGTAGTTTATTGTTGTCTTCCTCTCCTGGTTCAGAGGCCAATTTTTTCTTTGTTGCATATTTCCAAATGTCCGATTTTTTTACATTTCAATTAACAAGTTCTCTATATCTAATAGAAAAATTGTTAACATAGAGAAGCTTAGGAAAGTGATCCAAGCTTTTTTTTCCTTTTTTTTCAGTAAATAATAAATTTTTAATTAATTTCATAGTTCTATATAAAAAACACTTTTTTTTGGGGGACGAAAAAATAAGGCTTGAATCGAAAAATTCAAAATAAGGTGGAATGTTTAATATCTATAGAAATATGAAACTTAATTTTTTAGAAAAATTGTTGTGTTTGTAAAAATGTACCCTGTTTAATGGCTTATTGATAGAAATATTAAACAGGGTTTTAGATTAGTATTCGTGTATAAATGTATGTCTCGTAGTGAAGTTAGATTTCTTTTCAAAAATCTAGATTTTTTTTAAACAGTTTTTCCTTTTTTTTAAAGGACTTAATCTTTGTGAATCGTATTAATTGAGAAAAATATATATTTCTATCTAACAACGCTTTGGAAATATTTAATATTACCTTTTGAAAGAAAATTATTGAAATCATTATAATAATTGAAATATAGAAAAAAAAATTGAAATCAATTTTTTTCTTTTTGAAAAAGGAAAATCGCATTTTTTTTGTTACTATGTGGAATGAAATTAATTTTTTATTTCCAAGAGATGTTAATCTTTTTTTTTTATTTTAGCCGCTACTGCGCCTTACATTTCCGTGAAACCATCACAAGATCTTGTCAATATTGGAGATACTGTTGATTTAATTTGTTCAACTTCCGGTGTTCAAAATCCTCGATATTTATGGTCGAAACTCAATGAAATAAGTTTACCGCATAATTCAAGAGCTCATGGAAGTACATTGAGAATTTCAAATGCAGCTGTTAGTGACAGTGGAACTTATAGATGTACTGTAGAAAGTCGCGATGTTACTTTGGATGGTGATTACAATCTCGTTGTTCAAGGTGATTATTTTTTTATTTTAGTATTTATTTAAAATCTTTAGTAAAATATTGATGAAAATGTAATTATGTTTATTGCTTGCAATTCTATAATACGTAAGTACAATGTTTGGAAGATATATATTTTTTGAATTAGTTTATTTTAGTAATTTGAAAAATTATCTAGGTGGTACGGCCGACGCTCCAGCTATTGAAACAGTGTCAGCTCCATATGGATCAGACATTGAGATGAATTGCAGTCCCAATTTAGATCCTCCATTGAAATTCCATTGGAAAAAACTTGAAGGACAAATGCCATCGAATATTGATCCACATGAAGTAAAAGATTTTTTTTTCTCTCTATTTGAAAACAAAAATTTGAAATACTTTATTTAATTAATTTAATATTTTTTTTTAAATAGAATAAATTGAGGATTGAGAATGTTAAAGCGGAAAATGCTGGAACGTATATTTGTGTGGCAGACAATGGTCTTGAGACACTTGAAGTTCCAAATGTTCTAGTCGTAACTGGAGTTGTGCCATATTTCCATCAAGCTCCACAAAGTTACATTGCCCTTGCACCATTGACTGATGTTCAGCTTAAATTTAATATTGAGGTCTCTTTTAAAACGGAAAGCTACGATGGATTAATTCTCTATAATGATGAAACTCATCGTGGAAATGGTGACTTTTTGTCCTTGGCTATCGTTGGAGGATTTCCAGTTCTCACGTGAGAAATAAATTCCCTTTTTATTTTTGTTATTTAATTCCCATTTTCTTCTTTTTAATAATTTTTTTCTTTTTTCAGATTTGAACTTGGTTCAGGACCAGCGGAAATACGTGCTAATAAATCAATTTCACTGAGCACATGGCATACTATTAAAATTCAACGTCTTCGCAAAGAAGGCAATATGCTTATTGATGGTGAAGGTCCTTATACTGTTTTTGCATCGGGTAGAAAACAAACACTCGATCTAAAGGAACCACTTTATGTGGGTGGAGTTCCACGTAATCAATCAATTAATGAATATGTGAAGAGGCGAACTTTTGGAAATGGAGTACAAGGTTTTGTTGGTTGTATTAGTAAATTAGTGATTGGAGAAACTCATATTGATTTAATGGGCGATCAAACGGAAAGCACTGGAATAACGAGTTGTGAAACTTGCGCTGAAAATTCATGTCAAAACGGAGGTGCTTGTCAAGAAGCTGCTGTAAAACATGGTTATAAATGCTTGTGTCGTGCAGGTTACAGTGGACCACATTGCGAATCCGTGGGACAATCTTGTTATCCTGGTAGGATTTTAAGATAGTCGAATATAATTTTTTTCATTTTAGAATATTTAAAAAAAATAATAATTTCATTGTAGGTGCTTGTGGAGAAGGTAAATGTGTCGACTTAGAGACTGGTTTCGTATGCTACTGTCCGTTTGGAACAAAAGGATCGAGATGCGAGCAACCAGTTAATATCCATAAGCCATTATTTAGAGATACCAGATCATATCTTGCATATCATACACCAAAAGCTGTTCGTCGGTAAGTAGAATTATTTTAATTTTAAAACCAAATTTTTCTCGCTTTTCACGACAAGTATATCAATTTCCAAATTATAGATATAATTAGTTTTCTCTTGTAAATTTATTTTACTTCTATAATTTTATAAGTTTTCTAAATCTAGGTTTAAATTAATTAGAAAAGATATCAACAGGAAAAAGTAATTTTCTCCTTTTTTAAAAATTTATTTTTAATACAAATCTATGAAATTGGATATCTAAATTTTTTTTTGCTCCGTACACGTATTTTCTAAAGAGCTTATTGATTTCTTTACAATTATAAAAATTGCGCACGGTTCTTAATTGTTTAACATTATTTTCAGGGCCAATGAGTACACGACAAAACAAAAACGATCGCACTTGAGATCCAGGCTACAACCACAAAACTTGCACTACACAAAACATTAAATTTAGCACAAAATTAATGCACCTTGAAATATCATTTTTTTTTGGTATCTAGCGATACTATTCGACAATCTTGCAAGTCAGTTTCTAGATTGTCACTCTCATTCTAAGTCGCAAAATCTTAGTTTTTTTTTTTTAATTATAAAGCTTTGCTCTCAAAAATATTTTGGTCTTATCAGTTTATTGATTTAAAAAGTAAATTTTCATTAGCTTTAGATTAATTTTTTTTTTTTATAAATAATTATGCACTTAACATATATATTTCGTTCGCCTAGTTATTCAAAGCGAATCTCGCGGTGCTATATAATTTTAGGACTTCAACTTAATTATTATTATTATTATTATTAATTTTATTAGTCTTATATTTTCTATTGTACAGCTTTTTAATCAATATATATACGTCAGAGATAATAGATTTATTAATATTATTAACAAATAATAAGACGTGATGTCACTGCCAAATCAGTCGCATTTAACAAAGAATATACAATTTTGCTTAGATAAACTTTGAGAAAAAAAAACAATAGCTGTGTGTATAAACATAAATGTCAATTGAAAAAAAACGTCACCGTTTGTACTTACTACATTATTATTTTTTTTTTTTGTATAGAATCGAACATCGATATACTCAATAGGCTTATCAAGCCTAAATTATATATATATAATATACATATATATATAAATTAATAAATATTTTACAAATTAATTTTCTTTTTCAAAAGGGAGTTTTTAATTTTATTTTGATTTCCTTTTTTTGTTACAATACACTGTAAAGCGTTTTTCTAAATCAGGTGAGTTATTTCTAATTTTTTTTTTTTTTAGCTTTCGCATATTATTTTCTTTTTTTGCTTTTTTTGCAAAAGAAAAATTTCTCCGAGACAAAAATTATTTTATGAAATTCGGGGAAATTTGGCAAATAATTTATCGGTGATTTTTTTTTGTTGGGAAGGCTTCATATCTAAAAACGGTTGATGTGGTATTTTTTTTTTTAAAGCAAAATAACAAAAACTGGATTTGGGTTACATTAAACAAAAATGTGTTTTTACCAGCCTTTGCTATTAATAATTCATTCTAAAATATGTTACTAATATGATTATTGAATTTTCAGATTAAAATTAGCAATGAATTTCAATCCATCTGATGAGAGTGATGGAATTCTAATGTACGTTTCACAAAGTGAGGAGGGTCTTGGCGATTTTGCGGCTGTTACAATAAAAAATAGACACGTTGAATTTCGTTTTGATGTTGGTACTGGAATGGCGATTATCAAATCAAATATTATTGTACAACCTGGTATTTGGACACATATTTCTGTAAATAGAGATTATAAGCAAGGATCATTGTCCGTTCATGGTGAACCACCTGTTGAGGGAAGATCTCCTGGAGCAGCACGAACAATGAGTTTAAATACACCTTTATACATTGGAGGAGTTGATAGAAGGAAAATTATTATTAATAAAGATTTGGGAGTTGATAGAAGTTTTCATGGTTGTATAAATGAGGTAATTTTAATTTAGTAAGACTATTTTTGAAAGCTCTTTTTAATTATAAAAATTTTCAGTTGGAAGTTTCTGCAATGAATATTGATTTACTAAAATCGCCCATTGATTCTGTAAATGTTGAAGATTGTTCATCAGTTCATGAACAAAATCAAACAATTTATCCATCAACAACGCAATCATCTACTTTAATGACTACACTATATAATCCATGTGTTTCGAATCCTTGTATTAATGGATTATGTCAAAGTACAAATAGTTATGATTATTCTTGTACTTGTGAATATGGCTATGTAGGAAGAAATTGTGAAAATGTTTTAAAACAATGTGAATTATTAGTTCCTTGTAGAAATGGAGGCACTTGCACCGATTTACAAGGAACATATAAATGCGACTGTCTTCTTGGCTATAATGGACAAAATTGTGAAAAAAGTATGTAATTAATTAATTTCATTTATAATTTAGATTAATAATTTATTTTTGTAATTTTAGCCGCTGAATTTTCTTACGACGTTGCATTTAAAGGCGACGGTTGGTTAGAACTCGATAAATCGATAATGACACACGAGGAAGAAAGAGAAGTATTAGGTTTTGAAATAACGACAAATAAATCAAATGGTTTGATTATGTGGCATGGACAAACACCTGATGATTTACGTCCTGCTGATTATATATCTCTAGCAGTAGTGGATGGGTAAAAATGTTTATTATATTTCAAAAAAAAAAGATCGTTACTAATTGTAATTTTTTTTCAGATATGTGGAGTATCAATATAATTTAGGATCTGGACCAGCAGTAATTAGAGTTGCGGCACAACGAGTTGACGATGGTGAAAGACATAGAATTATTTTAAAAAGGCAAGGAAGTGATGGAAGCATTGAATTAAATGGCGAACATATGGAAAGTGGTGTGAGTGATGGCTTACAGCAAACTCTTAATACTCGTGGCAGTGTTTATTTAGGAGGAGTTCCAGACTTTGCCATGACCTATGGAAGATATCGAGATGGCTTTTCAGGATGTATTTATACACTTGAAGTTCAAGATTCTGGTGCAATCGATATTGGAGAAAAGGCGATTAGGGGAAAAAATGTTTTACCTTGCACAAGGTAAGCGAAATTTTTTTTTTTTCACTAATTCCAATTTTATTAAAATTTAATTTTAATGTCTTTCTGAGAAAAAAAAATTTAAATCTACATCACTTAAATTTTTCATGCTACTTAGAGCAAGATGGATTCCATCTTCGCTTGTATTTCCAGACGCGGATACTGATATCTTCGATGCTTTTGTACCTCCACCACCTGTAAATATAATTCATCCGAAACCCACACCTAATTTTGCTTTTCGAAATATTGACTCTTTCTTTCTTTTGCCAGTCACGTGTCTTTTTTTGATAAATAGTCAACTTTTGTCACTAACAAGATTTATATGTTTATTTTTAAAATAATTACCCATTTTAAAATAATGCACGTTTTCTAAATTAAATGTACAAAATTTAGAAAATGGGCATTTTTTAAATGCTTATATTGTCAATGTTATTTGTAACTAATGAATTTGTAAATTATTGCTTTTCCTAATCATGGAATTGAACGATTGAGGTATGTTTAACTGATATTAGAAAAAAAGCAAATTAAGTTATAATTTTATTTAAATAACAATTGTCTTTTTTCTTTTTCAGTGACTTGAGCAATCAGATTTAATTACACCAATAGCAAAAAAAAAAAAAAAAAAACCAAGAGGTGTAATATTATTATAATGATTAAAACAAAAATGCTTGTGCCTGAGAATCTAATATGATTCTTTTTACGACAAGTTCTCATCGATAGATATTCAGACTGAACGAGAACGCTGTAAATAATATAAACAAAAAATGTGAACGCCAAGATTTAATCCCTGAAGCGATTTACAATAGTATTTCTTTTTCAATTATTTAATTAATTATTCAAAATAATTAGCAGTTCTTTTTTGAAGAAAGTGATAGTTACAAAACTAGTAATTATTGTAATATACCATATCACGTTATTATTGCAATCGAACTAGCAAAAAATTTATAAATAGAAAATTAAAAAGAAAATTCAGTAAGAAGAGCGAAAGCACAAATTGAAAGTAGTTGTTTATATAAAAAAAAATAGGATAAGTAACTTTTACTAATACATGTCATTTATTGCATTTTTTTTTTAAATAGTTATTATAATTTATATATTTTATCCTATAAAAAAAATATTTTTTATATATTAAAGAGCTTTCTTTATGAATTTTATACATAATAGAATATCACTGCCATTGTTTTAAATACTTATGGCAACGAAATAGTTATTTTTTGTTTAATCTTTTGCTATTTCACTTTAAAAAAAATTAATAATAAACTTACTAAAGTCTGGTGCTAGTAAATTTACTCATTACAGAATTTTTATCAATTTTTTTCAATGTCATTTAAAAATACATACAAATTATTGTCAAGAAACAATTTTCTAGTTAAATATGAATTAGTTACAGGATATGTTTTCTAATATATTTCTGACAATAATATAAATGTACTTTTTCATTTTATTCATGAATAATAATGTATCAAATGAAACAGCGTGTATATAATGATAAAGGGACGTAAAAGCTTCTACAAAAAAAAAAAAAAAAAAAATGTTGCATGAAAGTATTAATGCTACTGGAAATTATTGATAAAGAAAATTTTTAATGTCTAAAAACTAAAGAGAATGTGCGTTTAAAAAAAAAAACTATCAATTAAAATTTACATCGAATAAATGCTTCTTTTTATCCTTGAAGTATAAGCACAAAAAAAAATGGATTGAAAGTATTCTCTAAACTGTGAAAGTATAATATCAATATTATTAAAAACTAGTATGTATTGTTATATGATAATTATTGAAAAGAAAATGAGACAATAAATATAATTTTGCTAAAAATTGATTTTAATTTATATTTTATTAAAATTAATTTGCTTGTTAAAATAATATTAACATATATTAAAAATTGTTTACAAGCGTTTGATAGAAAATATAATTTTTTTTTTAGACTAGAAAATAAGTTTATAAATTAATATTAACTTTTTTTTGTGTTATTTTAAAATTACATATTTTTGATGCTGCATTTTTTTTACATTTTTACCCGTAATAATTTTCAGTCCAATATTAATTTATATTTACTATAAATCAATTTTATAGCCGGAAATGAAGGGCAAACCAGTGCCCACTTCATTTTGATATTCTATGTATTCTTCACCGAAGAAATTAAGAAGCATTATTTCTTCAATTTTAACACGATCATTAAAGAATTTCCATGATGCCATTACATATGAAAGGAAGCAAAATGGATTCTGAAGAATTAACTGTAAGAGAAATAATTTTTTTTTTTAATTTACAATAATGTATCTGTTTTTTTCTTTTAAAAACTTTGAAATATTTTTTTTATTTTTTTTACCTGAGTACCAATGGACCAGTAAAACCATCCGACGTAACTTGGATGTCGGAACATTCTATAAACACCATGAGTAATTAGCTCGTGATCAACAGTTTTCTCTGTTTGAACTAAATGATTAAAATTTCGTTTAGCTGTAAATATAGCTAGTTTTCTTAAAATCTCTCCACAAAAACACATTATAAATCCAAAATAAGAAATAGACGATGGCACCTTCATTGAAGGGAAATAATATCGTTCAACGATGAATTCGAACCAACTGGAACATGCAGCTATTCCATAAGCCATACTATGATTTAATATAAAACTATCAATTGAAATTGCATTTGGATTTGTCCATGCAATTGTCATAAATTCCGAATAATGAAAGAATGAGAGGACGGATGCGTAGATTCCAAACATACGCCATGATTCTGGTGCTAATGCAAAAATTAAAATTCCAATTCCAAAAATATATCCCAAAAGTGCTGCTCTCACTGCAACCTTTACATAAAATTATAATTTTCATTTATATATAGGAAATGAAGGAAATGTAAACTATGGATTAACGTAAGTATAACCTCAAAATTATTATAAAAAATTTATTTTAATTTTACTTACTTGATAAGAAAATCCTCGAAATGTAAGAATTATTAAAAAATTCAAGAGAATAAACTGTAGTGCGTGTAAAATCCAAATATTTTCAATATATTGTTGATAGTAATCAAATTCTAACCTCAAAAGTAATTCAGGAAGAATTGAAACTATCAGTGATATAATAAAAGAAAATAAACTAATTTTTCCTTCCCTGATTAACATTTTTGATACTATATTAGTTTCTCAATCTAATAATAATATTTCACTATTCAAAATAATCCATTATTTAATGTAAATAAGATAAACACCTACACATGCACTTCGCCATAACGGGCATTACTGAAACTACATTTTTTTCCAGTGCAGTCAATAAAAAAAAAAAAATTGTCAGGGGTTATTAAAAAGAAAACTAAATTTTAAAATAAAAACATTTATTAAGAAATTTAAAAATTTCATTATTTAATTGTAAATACAAAAGTAATTGAATATTTTATAAAACGATACAATAAAATATTATTGTATAAAAACAATCTAAAATATCATTTTCTCGTATAGAATTTCTATCAAGAAATTATTTTTTTTTTTAATCAATTGCATTATGTACAGATTGCATTTTTGAAATTAATCTTGAGAACTATAAATAGACTGATTCCGCCGTTTGAATCTTTTTAAATTTGGTTCGATAGGAGCAACTGCAACTGCTACTTCTTCTTGTTCTTGTTCTGAAAAATAAAATAATTAAAACATTACAAAAAAAAAAAGTAAAAAAATTAAATATACTTACCAGGTTCTTGGGAAACTGGTTGTGATAAATCACTATCTTGAGAGGGTGAATTAACTTTAGCTGGTGGTAATTTTAATGGAGAAATTGATTTACTTAAATTAGATTCTGATTTGATTTTTATAGCCAATGGACTGCATTCATCATCATCATCGAGAGTACATAATGAAGATTCAAAAGTCTGATCAAAAGTCTCAGAGGCAGATGTATCTGAAAGAAAAAATTTTGTCACCAGTCTGGTAATATTAATTATTACAAAATATGAATATTATCCTCACCTAATTCAACGGCGTACGAAGAATCCAAGTCTGTATTCGAGAAACTAGAATCCCTTTTTTCTTCCTTGATTCCTAATAATAATTGTAAAAGAGCAAGAGGATCATCAATACCCAATTTATTGCAAAATTCCGTTGTTTGTGGATTTTTTTGAAAACGTGGATTTTCAAAATTATTCGGCGATGTCTGTGGATTATATGGCTCCTCTGTTTTTATAAAATTTAAAGGTATTTTTAAATCACTATTCATTTTTTCTAAAACAATATCTTTTTCTTCATCATTTGGTGTATAAATCCATCTGATATCACCTTCACCTGGCATCATATTCATTATATTTTTAACACTTAACAAATGATTTGTTAAAAATAAAATTGTAAGCCATTCTAAATCGTATGTTAATGTTGTGGGAATATTTTCATCATGTTCAATGTCAATAATTTGAAGAAATTTTCTCCTAGGCAGACATTTGTCAAGTGCTAGAAATTTTGTACATCTAGAACCATCTTCTTCATTTACTAATGCAGCAAATTTACAATGTAAATGTGCTGCAAACCAATAAGTTGGATAATGTTTTTTTAAAAGATCTATACTTGCTGGACTTCCTAATACATCATTTTCAATATCATTTCGAAAAAAAGGTTTCTTTTTAAGAAGCATTCTTTCATTTCCATATTTTGTTATACCCCTTGGCCAATCATGCGAGAGAAAAATATCAATTTTATCCGATAACTGAAAAAAAGATATTTTGTAATTAAATAAAAAAATATATATTCGCTTTAAAAAATAGTTTGCAAATTACCTGTTTTAATCTGAATACTTCTAGATTACGAACATGATAAACTGAACGTATTGTTTGTTCAGTATATGGTGGCTTTTCAAAATGTCCTTTCAACCAATCATGACCTTTATAAATTCCAGACAAACCAGCTATTCTTATGTTTCCTACTTTGACTACACTTGCTAATCCCATATAATAAATATTAGGAGCAACCCAACCTCCATAGGAAAGTTCCTGAAGATAATTAGATGCTTCATGATTACCTCCAATAAAAATAGTTAATACTGGAGCAACCAATTCTCCTGAATAGTATCTGTATAATTTGTCCGCAAAGAGGTTAGAATTGCAAAATAATTAAGTTATAACAGAAAAAGTTATTCTAAAAGAAAAATATACACTTACTTATAAAATGAGCACATTTGTTTATATTTATCCGGCACAGCCATACATTTTAAATCACACAAATTTCTAGTTGATTGAAAATCACCGCAACAAATTAAAAGATCGACTTTCTTTTTATCCACTTTTTCTGCTTCAATAATTGTTTTGTAAATTGTTTCTAATTCCCCATGAGCACATCCTTCTACTGCGATTCGCATTTTGTAAATGTTTTATTTCAAATAATAACTAAATTAATATCAGATCAAAAATGTTTTAAAAAAATTAACTGACAGTTGTTGTCAGTTGATGCCCAAAGTTAGAGGTTAGGGTTGATAAAGGTTAGGTTGGTCCATAAGGTTAGGTCGACCAATTAAAAAAAATTGTAAATATTTGGCGCATGTTTTTGAAATAATTTTGTGCTAAAACAGTTTCTTTAGTCTATATTATAAAAAAGATGTAAAAGAAATGTTTTTTTGCTTTATTATTATAATAATATTTTTTTGTAATAGATATATTATTGGATAATGCTAAATGAATTTTATTTTAAATTTACAGTAAAGTGCTTCGTGTCGTTTCGCAAATTTTCGGACATATTCGTTGTCGTTTTAAAAATGGCTGCAATTCAATGTGAAACAAAAGATGACCCTCCTTCGGAATTATCAAAATCGCCTGTGTTTTCAAATGAAACTGTTAAAAATATCAAAGAACATGAAAATAGTGGAATTCCTTTACAAACACCATGGACATTTTGGCTTGATAAGTGAGTATATCTAAAAAAGAATCACTTTTAATCGTTCTTCTTTCTGCTTTTGCTCTCTTCTCTTTTTTTATTAATTTTTTAGGAAATAAATTTTTTTTTGTTATATTTTTATTTTCCAGACCTTATTTACATTTTTTAATACTTGCTTGACGACATTTTTGATCATTTTTTTTTCTATGGAAAAAGATTTTATTTTGTTGACTTATAAATAATACAATTACCTGGGTGGCAAAATAAAGTCACTTGACATTTGTAAATAATTTACATATATGTATAGTATTATTAAAACATTTATGAAATTTGTTATTACGAGATAAATAACAAAAGTTATTGCAACAATACAAATTTACTGACAATTAATTTTTAGGTTATGTTGTGGTAAACATAATTTTTAAATACCTGATAAAAATTCCATAGTCTAAAAATTATTAATAGGTAAATTTTAATTAAAAAACTGTCAAAAATTGATAAATAAGAATTATTTATACAAAGAGCAAAATTTTAATAAAGAAAGAAAAATTCTTTATTGATCAATGCAATCAATTTTTATCTTATCGATAAAATTAAATAAACTGATGAAAATGTTTAAAGTTTCATCATATAAATTAAATATTCATTATTTACGAGATTTTTTAATATAAAATCTATAAGTGCATAAATAGTGAGTATGAAAAAAAAAAATGTTTGAGATATTTCTCATGCAGTGTTAAAAATAATATCAATGGAATTGTTTAATATCATTGGAAAGATTTAATATCATGATAAGTATGACGCATAATTTTATTTTCATTATTTTATTTTTTTTTCATTTTTGAAATAAAAAATTTTACATCATCGAATAGAAGAAGTGTATTATTTTTCTTTTCTGCAAAAAAAAAATTCTTTCGCTTTTTGCTATATTCATTTTAATTCTGTATCTTATTTTCTAATTTATTAGAATAAAAGAGATTTAATAAAAAAAAGTAATTTAATAATTAATAGGGCTATTTCTGGAACTACTACCGAGGAGTATAAAGCTAATTTGAAAAAGATTTACACTGTAAATACTGTACAAAGTTTTTGGGCTGTTTTTAATAATATTCCAAATCCTTCTGAAATACAGGTAGGAAAAATTATAAAACTTCTAAAATTTTATAGAAGGTTTTAAAAAAAAGTGAATTATTAATTTTTAATTGTTTTGCATTTAGATTAGATATAGTTATCATTTGATGAGGGAAGAGAGATATCCACTTTGGGAGGAACCAATTAATCAAAGGGGTGGTACTTGGAGGCTAAAATGTCACAAAAGCGAAACAGTGAGTGGTGAAAAATTTTTTCTTATTCATTGAAACTTTGCATTTTATTTTCATAATATACAGTCTATAGTTTGGAAAGAGGTCGTACTTGCAGCCATTGGGGAACAATTTTCTGAAAATTTAGCTGAAGGTGACGAAGTTTGTGGCGTTACTGTATCTATTCGTGAAAGGGACGATTTGGTTCAGGTACATTTTCCAAAATATATTTTTTTTATTTTTAGAAAAACAATTTTATTTCAAATATATTTTTAATTTATCAAATATTTAAATATTTGGAATGAATTTATTTTACATGTATTATATTTTTATTAGATTTGGAATGAAAATGCCGCCTTAGCGTCAAAAGCCACAATTCTTGATAAAATTCATAAACTTTTACCAGAAATCGAATTTGCTGCGGAATTTTATAAACGTAAGTTTCATTTTTTTTCTCTAATTTTAATTTAGAATTAATATGAATTATTTTTTATTTTCAGCACATCAGTCGCATCACGCGTACGGAAGGCATTGATTTTTATTCTTAAATTTACAATTATTTGTTTTTATAAATTGACACAATGTAAGTGAAATATACACTGTAATGAGATTTTTTGACACAAGAAAGAATTTTTTTTTGGACTTTTTCACCTTTAAGATTTAAAAATCCACGACTAAAATATGTTTTAAGATTTTATATAGTTATTAACAACAGAAAATATATTGTATTCTTAACAAAAAATTTGAAATATATTTTTTTATTTCATATCAAAAGACAATTGTGATATTATTTTTGTAGACTTATAAGTTGAAGTTCTAAAAAAAAAATTTTTTCAATTTTATTTTTAAATTTTAGAAATATAATTTTTCAGAATGTATTATGGAATGTTTGTCGATTTAATTTTTGTTAAATAAGTTCGTTTTCAGATGTCAAGGTTTTTTTTTTGAATTAATCGAGCTCGTTGCTTTTACAAGGGAATGAGATCAATAAGGAATTTTGAGATAGAGGTTCATCATTCCAGACAAGGCCACTTGAAAGTGGAAACGACCTTCAAAAATTCCGTACAAAGTCCGTACTTAGGATATATGAAAACGTCTCGTCTGGCGCCAAAGCCTGCTGTGAACGATTGATTGCGGTTTATTAATGAAATTCCGCCTTCCGAATTTTTACAGTAACACGCGATTAAATAATTTACATTCCGGTGTGTTCGTCTTATTTTTTTTCTTTTCTTTTTTTTCGAAATATATTTTACTCCTTCAAGATCAAGAAATAACAGTTCATGGATCATTCCTTTCTCTCGAAAGAGTTACTGTTATCTCCGTCAAAAAATTTCCAACTCATATTGATTCCCCGTCCACTTTTCAAAAAATGTTTTGGAATTTTACCTTAAAAAAAAAAACAAAAAAAAAAGACTCCTAATTGGGAGTTGAAATTTAATTATTACTTTTAAAATTTTTCCATATTGTCAATTTAAAATCGAAATTTATTTTCCAAATGTGGAAGTTTTAATTTTATGGAATATTACAATTAATTTTTCCAATGTTAAATTACCTATAAGTTTTTTAATTGTTTTATTAATTAAATTAACAGGAATTATAATTTTTGATATTAAAATTAAAAAGTTGTTTTGAAAATAAATTTCTCAAGATTTATGGGATGTTCCCTATTATTATCAAATTTAAAGCTTGACAAAAATAGGTATAAAAATCGTATCGATCTTTCTAGGAATTTAGAATTTGAATACATTTGCGTATTTTATGTAATTCAAATTCGTCTTGAAATTTTTTTTTTTTTTTTAATATAAAAATTCTTCAAAATGACATTTTATATTCTTAACTTTATATATTTTTTTAAAATTTAATTTATATTTATTATTTAATTTCAATTTAATTTTATATTTATTTTAATTTAAATATAAAAGGTATTTCATTTGAAAAAACATAAAAAAATTTTCAAATTTCGAAAATATTATTTAGTTTTTCTATTTAAACGAAATAAACAATTAATCTCATCTGTCTGAAAAAATACGTAAAGATGATTATTGAGGCGAATGTAGTCGTGTCGACATTTTTACGAGTCTTTTAGATGGAAGTGAAATGACGTCAAAGAGCGAAATCACCAAAAATCAAAACAAAATTTTATTCAGGAATCTCGTACTCGTTAAATACGGCTTTAAATTACAATTCGCACGTTGCATGTTCCTAGAAAGATTTATTGTCGATTTGTTTTCATATAGGTAAAAATTTTGGCTTAAGGAATGATGATAAAAAAAATAAAAAAAAAACATATAGAGAAAGAAAGAAAAAGTAAAAATTGTGTAATTAAAAATTAAATAATTTATTAAATAAAATTATAATCCTTTTAACATGATTTCATTTAACGCATAAAATAATTTTTCAACAAAAAAAAAACCTATTAGATAAGTATAAAAGATTATTTTAAAAGCAAGTCATTAAACTTGGTTTGTCATGCGATTAAAGAGGTCATAACCCAGATATAAAATTCCTTTCTTGAAATGCGGGCGTAAGTAATGTAAAATTATTTTTCTTGTTTAAATCCAGATACTTTTTTTTTCTTTCTTTAATCTGCAAAAATATTCTTAAACGATTTTAATTAAAGTTGAATTTTTTTTGGGATATAAATTGAATTTTTTTAAAAAATATTAATTAATTAATTTTAAATTGACAATATTTTTAGTTTAAAATTGAAATGTTAATTGTTCATCATTCAATTCATAATATTACAATGTTTCTAATAAAATTTTAATGATTTTTCTTTTCAGAGCTATTGAGGATTTTGAGAGGAACAAAAACAAGAATATTCTTTGACGAAAATATTATACTTGACAGAAAATTGAATGTCCTTGCTGTTAAGAAGAATCTGATCGATGACATAATGTTTCAACGTGCCTTTTGCTTTTGGCAATGCCAAAGAATCAAGAATCAATTAGAATTTCCAGTCGCCAGTCTTATATTCAAAATGAACATGAAATTCTCTGATCCCTATCGTCGTGGCGCCAATATTGAAGGTTTGTTCAGTTTCTTGACGTCAGTTTTATTCATTTACATAAATTCCACAAATTCTACTAGTTTCAAACAGACTGATTTTCAATATTTTGTTTGTCTCTTTATTTTTCCGAAAATGAAAAAAAAAATTGGAGCAATGTCACAATTATTTTTTTATGACAATGAATTTCAAAATTAAGATAAAAATTTTTTACAACTTTATTTTTTATTTCGGTAATTTTGTCTAAGATTGAATTTTTTTTTTTCTTCAAAGATATTTTTTGAAGACTTATATTTTCTGAATTTAGAGATCTAATCTAAAGTTGAAAACTGAATTGAATTTTAATTTAAAGTTCCAATTTTGGAAATTCATTTGCATTTTGTACTGCGGTTTAAATAAATTAACAAAAACTAGTTAAAAAAAAAATGTTCTTTCAGTTTCAATAAGAATTTTTATTCTTTTGCAATATTGTATAAATTATTTAGTTTTTGAATTTTATTTTTAAATATCTAAAGAATCAAATTTTTCATGGCCTTTAGCCAAGAAAAATAGTTTATAGATTTAAAAAAAAGAAAAAAAAACAAACTTTGTACGTCAATGGAAATTTTCTTTTTCTAAATTTAACGTTTATAAATAATACATTTAAATTAATTTCCAAAATAAAACGATTTTAATAAATTAAATAGCTACTGAACTATAAGATTATTATTGAAAATCTACATTTAGAATCTAAATGTTTGTTAATTAAAAATTTTTGATTTTAAATCTGTATATTTAAAAATGTTTTGAATTTGTTTAGTATTGTAAATTTTTAGCAAAGATTCTCAAAAGAGAATCAAAAAAATTTACCTGAAATTAAAAATTATATACATTGCAGGAATATTTTTGCTGAATGATTGAAATCGGAGTGTGAAAAAAAAATTGAACAAAAGGTAATAGCAAACAAAGGAAAAATGCATATATTTTTTCACCCATAGAAGATCGGAAATGGTGCGGATAGTGTTAGCATGAATTCTTTGTCACATATCAGTCATTGCCCTCTGGAGCTTGAATTGTTTTTCCGGTTGACGAGATTGCAATTCCGTTCTGTTTGCCAATTTTCTGATTTGGTTAGAAAAGTCTTTATATATAGTATATATTTTTTAAAAATTCTACTTTTTCTTTAAAAAAATTGTTTTTTTTTTAAATTTCTCATCTGTTATTGATACTTAAAAAACAATTTTTTTCCTAATTTAATTTATTTTAATTTTTGTTATTGTTAATTTTATTTTTAAGGCTCAATTTTAATTCTATTTACTTGGTGAATTTTTTTTTTAATTGATTCATAATTAATGAAAAAAATTAACAGATTTAATAAAAATGAAATTGTTTTTTTTTCTCATCTTTCTAATAGGTAAAAATTTATGTGGTTGTTTTTGAGGGCAAAGGAATGAACTACTGAATTTTTCACACCTCCACAAATTGGACGATAATGAGAAGCGAAGATCAGGTTTTTATTTTTTTCTTGGACGTAAGTATTTTCGTTTTGATTTGACCAGGGAGATTCCCAAATGCTTGAGGCTTTGAGTTTACCTCGTGACGTAAAATATTAAGGCTTGATGTTGATATATCCGCATTTTATTATTCCACTGACCAAACATGTGAAATTATTGAAAATTCCCATTCGAGATTTAGGAATTTGACATTTACATACATATATATATATAAGTATATGAAAGCAAAATTGAAAACTATTAAGAAAAAAATATTAAATTAATATTTTTGTTAATTATTTATTGAAAGAATATTTCATAAAATAAATTATACATTAAAATCATTGTACGTCACATGGTGAAAATTTAAAATTCCTTTTACGTCAAATAGATACAATTAAAAACCTTTTACGTCATAAATGGGGAATAATAAAAATGCTCAATATAATGAATTAGAATATTTTTCCATATCAATGATAATGAAATGTATAGTTTGCAATTAATCTAAATCAATATATGAAAAGTAAGCCATGGTCAAAAATGATTTAAATTCGTTTTTTAACTTTAGAGATTATCAATTTATGAATATTTTAAAATATGTCAAGTTTAATTAGAATTCAATAAATGATGATAATGAACAAAAAAAAATTAAATTAAAAATTTTTTTTTTGAGAAAGGATTTAACATTTTTTGGAAAAAGAGAAAAAAAAATATTTAAACGAAAGATTGTAAATGAAAATTTAAAAAATTAATTTTAAACATAAACTTCACGGTTTTATATAATTACCCAACATTGCATAATTTTTCTCTAGTTCCTATAGCGATTATTTTATCCTTCTTGGAATGCTTGGAAAATGTAATTTGCTTATTTAAATAATTACTACTGGTAAGAATTATTACCGAATATAAATAATTTTCCATAAATACGTGTTTGGTTTATTTTTGAAAAAAAAATGATAATTTTACATGATTCTATTTCAGATGGAGATAATTCAAAATTACAATTTGCAATATTGTGAAATATCAACCCCATTTCACCTTCAGAAGTTTATTACAAAAAAAAAAAGAATTGAAGTCATCGACTTCAAAGCGGAAGAAATGACATCAGCGATTCAGTGATTGCTACTTGTGCATTCCACTGAAAAACCTGAGTCAAATTCAATGGGAATGTTTACAAGAAAAACAACAAGATGTTTTAACGGAATTTATAGTCATCGAATTAAAAATAATTATCAATATCGTAAGTTGACAAAAATAATTTAAATTTTCTTTTTAAATTAAAGTTAAAAAATTTTTTAATTAAATTTTCATTATAATATTTAATAAATTTTATTATTTGGAAAAAAAATTGAATGTTTAGAATTTTAGATTCAGTAATTACTTTACAAGATTTTTTTTTTATACTTCATGAGAGTTTCTTCTTCTCTATCTTCTCAGCATTGTTTGTAGCATTATTCAATGTCTTAATTTCTTATTTATAATCATCTGCACTTTATATGTTAGGTAACAACCGGGGTCGTTGATTATATGACCTCGTCATTCATGAAAATTCTCTCAAAAGTCAATTTTTATCTTTGTCGAAAAGTTTTCATCCAAGTACATTGAATTTTTTTTCTAACAAATATTGACGAAATAATCTTTATTTAATTTGGGACTTAATAATTAATTTTTTTGAAACTTCATATTTTTTATAATTATTAGTAATTTAACTTAATTTTAATTGTTAAAAATTCATAAATTCGAAAATTTTGCTTATTTCCATTGATGATAATTTTTATAGTTAAAAAATTTCTGTTCTTTTAATTATTTTTTTGATAAGAAGACATTAATGACTTTTTTTTATAATCAATATGAACTATAAAAATCCATCGAATTCAGACTATATCCTTATTGACTCACGTCAAGGTTCCTTGAATCCTCCAGTAAATATGTCACCCATGTTTATTAGTAATAAAAATTAAAACGATTAACTAAACTGCAAAACTAGTTCCAACTGCGACTTTTCATTGTTCGTGTGGTCAGGAATTTAAAAAAAAAAAAAAAGTTTTATGTTTCTTTTTTCTCTTGTTCGGTTCAATAAACAAATATTTTCGTTTTCAAAATACAAAATATAAATTCCCGATTGCAAAAGTATGTTTTAAAAAAATACAATATCAGAATCTGTTAAAATAAATAAATATTTAAATAAAATATCAGATACTTATATCTAAATAAATAATTAAATATACAAATACAAAGTAAAACAATTATTTAAAAACAAAACGTAAATTTTTACTAAATCAAGAATTAATTTTTTTCAATATTGAATTAATTTTTGAATCTGGAGACAAATACAAATGTTAAAAATAGTTTTTGTTTATTAAAGGGGAAATTAATTATGCAAATAGAAATTATTTCTTCTTTTTTTTTCGTTACAGGAGTCGTTAGCCTATGTAAGGGATATTCAGAGAAATTTTAAAATAGATAAACAGACGTCAGAAGATGCTGTGATTATAATAACGAAGACCCCTTTGGTTGTGGTAGGGTACCGCATAAAATGAACCGGCCACCTGGCAGTAAACTCAGTTTCTCGCGAGCTCTCAACAGTGATTGTCCTGAGATTTATAACAAGTCTACTTTAAAAAAAAGTGCCATTTGAAATACTTTTCTGTGTTTTGATTTTGAATTTTTTAAAAACGAAGAAAAACAATTTGCCTGTGAAAAATCAAGTTTTCTAAATTTCGTGATCCAGTGGCAAAGGAGAAAAAAAAATATCAAGGAATTCTATCTTGAGACTTTGATCGGAGGACACAAAAATAAGAAAAAAAAATGAAGATCTCTTTTATTGTTGCCTCGATTCTGGGAGTTTGTCTCATTTCAAAAGCCAATGGATCTGCTATTCCAATTTGGGAAAGTCTCGCCAAGGGTGAAAAAGTAAGAGTGATTTTTCTTTACATTTTTCCTATTTTCCAAAGTGTTAAAAAAAAGTGTTTATACATTTTTAAATGTTTAATATTGTGAACGTGCAAATTGTGAAGTATGAAAAAAATAATTGATTGTTTCATTTAAAAATTTTTTTGCAAACGATAAAATCGTATTGTTATTTTGTTTTTTTAATTCTTTGTCTGAAAAACAAAAGTTAATTACAATTAAAATGTAAACTTGGTATATAATATGGAACAATAAGTTTATTTTGTCAGTTGATAAACTTTTTACGAAACAATCAATTGTTTTTGAATGTAATTTTTAAACATAAACTACATATAACAATTGAAATTTCTGACTCGACAAAAGGATAAGCAAATTAAAACAAATAGATAATTTTTGTATTTACATTTAACATGTTATTTTTAAACATTTTTTCTTTGGGACAAATACATTTGGACGTTAACAATATTGAACTATTAAAATAAATCGATTTTGTTAATTTAATATCTATAGATAATTTTTTTTTTTTAATTTTTCAATCATTTAAACATAAAATCGCAAATTAATTTCGTACCTCGATTTGATATTTAACCAAGAAAAAATTAAAATTAAGTTAATATAATTATAAATAAAAAAGCAAAGGAAATTATTAAATTTAAAATAATTTCGTTCTATTTATGGATTGAAGTTTATAGATCGTAAAAGGTAAACAGCTCGAGCGTGAAAACATTATTTTGCTATTGTAACAAGTTGAAGTTCAAGTTTAAACTCAACTATTAGAAAAAAAAATTTCAATATAAATTTTAAAATTTTTTATTCTAACAATTTTGGAAATACTATTTTTAATCAATTAATTAATGCAGTTATTAATCTTAATATAAAAAATATTTTTTTTAAATTGTAGTTCTAATTATATAAAAAAACATTCATTTATTTAGATTAGCATTTTTAGGTTCTTTTTGTCTTCCTCTATTTAATCAGCAATTAACGCAATATGTACTTAACACATTAGTGATTTTTCAACATTTTCTGCACGACACTTTCTCTCAATTTCCGGAATAAAAATAAAGAAACATTACACAGTTTGTCCTGATTTGCTAACATAAGTAAATTCGGCACGGTTTTGATATTATTTCGTCACGTTTCACATTTGACTTGAAATAACTTTTTTAAAAATTTAAATAGGTACATCATTTAAATAAACAATTTTTCTAAAACTGAAAAAAATTTTATATCAGTTGAATTAATTGAAAATATAATTTCAATTAATTAAATTTTAAATAAAATTATACATTTAAATGATAAATCATAATATATTTCATTATAAAGAGATTTTTAAGATAAAATAAAATTTTGTAGCGTAACATATATTATTAAAATTCTCACTCAATGGAAAATTGATAATTTAATGTTACTAATTAAGTATACTTATATATATGAGACTGGAAAGAAAAAATTGTTTCTTAATATATTAAAATAGATACAATTTGAAATTAAAATTTTTAAAGCGTGGGTGAAAGTAATAACGACGTGTCTTGTATTATTATAAAAGCGCTACTTATTGATATACATTTTGTACCATTTTTGGTTAACGTCACGTTTTCGAGATTTATTGCGTGAAAATTTATTGCAAACTTTTACGTGCTAAGCAACACGTATACGCGTGTATGAATATTTAAGAAATTTAAAATTCAGTCAGATTTCATAAGAGCGGAAATATTTTTGCAAAAGTTCAAAGTTAAAGGAAGGGAATCATTTTCACTATCCACATTTTTTTTATTTAACGATTTTAATATAGTAAAATAAAATTTTTATTAGAATCTAAATTAATTTAAATTAACAATTTTGTTGAATTAATTATATATTAATATAATTTATTTTTAATTACAGATGAGCAGATTGTTCGATAGATTTAAATTACAAGCGGAAAGTTATTGTTCACATTCATCGAGTCCGGATTGTAATAAAAATTTGTTGGTAACTGCATCGCAAAAATTGGCCAGCCTAAGCAATGATCAAATGGATCTTTTAGATCCCTATCAAAGAAATTCTGAAGAAATGAGTATGTTAATTTTATTATTAAATTAAAATTTTATATTGTTATTGATACATAATTAATTTATTAGAGTTTTATTTATATTTAAAGAAATATATTTTTACCATTTTGCTTTTAATTTCTTTTTAGTTTGGCGAGCATTGACAGAAGGAGTCAAAGAAAACATTGATGACGTCGATGAACGTTTCTCTATTACATCGACAGGTAATTTATTTATTTAGATAAACAAAATTCCTTTATTAATTTGAAAAGTTTATTGACATTGTTTTTCTTTTTCTTAAATATCACGAATTACGAAATAATTTTATTATCTAAAACACAAGTTCATGCGGAAAGAAATTTCACAAACTATAATTAAATTTCTCGTTTGGATTATAATTTCTATTTGTACAACGGAAAATATACGTAAATAGTAAGAAAGAAAAAAAATACTTGGGAGAAATTTCGTGGCATTCGGAAGTATCGGAAACTTGTGGTTTTACCATAAACGTTTCTTTATTAGACGGTCTTTTTTTTCATCTGCCTATCATTAAATCTATGGAGCGATCTTGAAATCTTGTCTTTGAAGCCTGTTTTTATCTCACGACAAATTAAACTATAAATATATAAGAAAACTTCGCGATTTAATAAATTTAAACGTTCGTAACTTTTATTTTTTTTATTGAAAAGTGAAAAATATTTTTAAACTTATAGTCCTATTTCTTTTTAAAAGATCTTTGTGTTTTAAAAATTCTATATTTAAATAAAAATAAAAATATTGAAGGTAAAAAATATCAAAGAAATGAAAACTAAATTAATGATCAAAGTTGGCATTTTTTGTTGGAAAAAAATTCGCTTATCATCTTATATTGAAGGAACGTATAACAAAATAAACGGTTAACTTGAATGGAAGATTGATTAATGACCGGAGATCAGCGGTTTACTGAGAAACAATTGTTAGTAACGTTTCATTCTGAGAAAATCTATCGATAATAATGATAAATAATTTTATTCGATTCTATATATGCGAGTAATTCCCACGGAAATCTGAAAGCTGGGTGGGTTTTATTGAGGTCAAAACTTTTCTTCGACGTTTATACCGCTCTTCACAAGAAGGCCTCCTCATGGCTTTCACATTTTCTCTATGGCCCATTTCCCTCTGTTAAAACGATACATGCCAAGTGCAAAACACAAATCACTTCTCTCTTATTGCAATAAAAAAAAAATATATATACATACTTCAAAGAATACAAATAACAAACAAACAAATAAAAAGTCGGAAAAAGACTTTCTATAATTTCACTCCCACAGTCTTTGCCAAAATACACAATTGAAATAATTTATCGCTATTATATTTTTATTATTTATTTTTTTTATTACAAAATTTGTCTTTCATTAGTTATTGAAAAATTTGTCTCTAAATAGTTAAAATTCGTAAATTATTTACAAAATGAAAAAGAAGTTTGACAAATAATTTTATTTTTAAGGCAAAGAAAAAAAAAATAAAAAAATTCTGTCGATGGTTAAACAAACCATGCAAAAGACTTATATATGCAAATTTCCTGCTTAAGGACTTTTATTTCACTTCCTGTTTCCGGGAGGTCAATGATTTCACAAGCAGAATATGTTCGTTAAAAATGTCTTGCAATATTCAATTAAGATTGATAATATAAATAGATATTCATATAATGGGTGCAAATTTAAATTAATGATATACAACACGAAATTATGTTTTGCTCTCAGATACTCAATAATACTCTATTCATCTCTTCTTTTTCATTTTTTTTTTCAATAGCTTCTTTGGAATATTTTTTTTCAAAAGATCTGTATTTGATCTTGATTGGGTATTCGCGAAAGTTCGACATGTAGGCCAAGGTGTCATTATTTTTCTTCTTTTATTTTCTCTCTCTTAACTTCGAAGGAATTCTTGTTCTCCGATCTCAAGGTAGAAAAAAAGATCATGTTGATCAAGAATTTTCTTTTATTTGTGACTTCAAGTTTGACTTTATGTAAATATTAATATATAAATAGAATTTGTGAACAAAATTTTCCTTCGACCCGGAAACAAAATTAACTTTTATTTTTTCTGGAGGCACCTTTTAAATTTAGACGTTTTCCTCTTTAGAAACAAGTTTCTTTTGCGTTATAAAAATATTTAATTTTTTTCTCTGTTTTTTTTTGAAAAATGTTTCTATTTTTTAAAAATTGGAAATTTATTCGCGAAATTGATAAAAAGGGAAAGAATTTCTCTCTGGGAGATTTTATGGACGACCGGATATTAAATGCATGAGCGAGTTTCCGATACTTTCGAAAAAGAAAAGTCCGATGGTATCAAAATGTTAAATATTATGGAAAGTCAAAGGAACAAGTGGAGAACGACAAGATTCACGTCCTTATCCAATTACAAATGTTAAATACAATCACGATATATGTCTTTTAATTTCAAAACCAATATTTCAAACATCAGAATATAATCATTCAATTAAATCCGAACAAAAATTTTGATTTTTATCTAAAATTGGATTCTTTTTTCAAATTAAAATTATATTGTCCCTTACTTTAGAATAAATTTATTCCTATTATCTTTTTCAAATAAAAAAGAATTAAGAAACAATTAATTTTTTTTCGGTAAACTGTTTAATTTACAAATGGCTATAAATTTAACTCTAATGTCTAATGAATTTCAAAAGATATCAAATAATTGCTTATAAAGACGTCAAGGTTGAAAAAGTAATAAAATTTAATTTGGATGACGTTCAAAGGTTGTAAAAACTTAATATTCGAATTGTTTCAAATATATTAGCCTACGAAACGATTAATAATTTCTATTACTTCATAATTCATTCATTAATTTAATATTCTTAATCAAAAAATGATTTTTAAAAATTCGGAATTTTTTTCAATATATTAGTTTATTATTTATTAAAATTAAATAAATTTTTTATTTCAGTTTACACTGAAGGTGAGAATGGCCTGGCAGAAGAATCATCACCAATTGCAAATTACATACAACCGGCTAATCGTCCCGGACCTTTTGTGGTTGGTCCAATGGTGTCACGAGTATTGCCAGACGGTCGTCCAGTTCCTGGTGATGAAATTATTCCCAAGGACGAGGATATTGAAGATTTACGATTTTCCCCATTGCCATCAATCGAGGAAATTGAGACAAAAACCAATAGTCGTTATTATCAAAAACCAGAGAGATATAATCATAATGCTCTCGTTTCACCATTCCATGATCAACGACCAAGATATTTTATTAGAAATCGTCGAAATAATTATCCACTACGTGAACCAATTTTCTTCACGTTTCCCTTCGATTTACGTTATTATTAAGATGATGTTGATGTGATGATGATGCTTTTCAAAATCCAAGGATTTTAGTTATTTCCTGACGAATGATCGCTGAGTGAATCTTTAAAGGTTTTTCTATTTTTTTTTTTTTTTTATTTATTTATTATTTTTTTTTATTGAAATAAGAAAAAATCAGAAATGTTTCATTCTCGATCATGAAAACTAAGACTCATACTATTATTATTTATTTTATAAGACTTCAAACTCTATTTATTTGTTTCTTTATTTTTGTTCTTTTTTTTATATCATTTCATCTGAATTATTTTTGAATCATTTACAAAACTTTTTCATTTCTTTTTATTTAGAATTTAATTCATTTTTTTTTTTACAAAATTTTTTCGTTTTCATCAAAATTCAATTTTAGATTATTGTAAATGTTTGATAATTTCTGATTTACAAAATATTTTACATTTTATCAAATTGAAAAAACTGTAACTTTCTTTTATTTGAATTGTAATTAATTTTTCTTTTAGCGTTAATTAGTTGTTATATGGTCTTGTGATAAATGTAGTCATAAGATGCTTTTGTGTGAATTAAAAAATTCACACAATTTGTATGTCATATTGATAGTGATTTAAAATTTTTTCAATTCTATCAAAAATGATTGAATTAAAAAAATATTTAACTCGCGACGATTGTAAATAGAAAATTGTAAAATTAGTGCATAATTTTTGTAATTTGAACTAATTTTTAAATTATTTCAATAAGAAATAAATCATTTTTAATTAAATTAACGATTTTAATTTTCATTTTCAGAAAATTAAATTATTAAATTTCTGAATAACAAAATTTTAATGAACTGACATCGTTATTTAAATCTTTTTTTATTTAAATAGTATTTTATCTTTATAAATTATCACTATTGTTAATTATAGTATCTTGACTGTAAGAAAGTTTTAGAATTAAATCGAAAAACATTTATAATAGAAAAAGAAGACTTTTGTCTTCGATACATAATTCACGCTTACAGTTAAAAATATTATTTTATAAGCTGTACAAGAGAAATTTCTTTCTTTTTTTTCAGATTTTAAGTCACATACAAATTTTGAATTATCAAATCTGTACACATTCATCACCATTTAAATATCTACACTAATTTTTTAGCTTCAAAGAAGCTCTTCAAATGCTTCATTTGCCATGCACCCATTATTAATAAAATAGCAGTTTGAATAAGAGACCACCAAAGTACTCGGCGATTTGTACTCTCTGATGTTTGACGGAATCTGTCCTCTCGATACTAAAATAAAAATACAGTAAGTAATGACATGATTTTAAAAATATTTTTCTTTTTATTAAATAATATTTCGTATACCCTCTGATAATTTTGCTCCTTTGTAATTGCATCAACTTGATCATAGAGTTGTCGAATTCTAAGTTGAAGTTCTGTCAATTTTTCCTTTTGAGCTACATTTGCATAATCAATAGCGTGTTCTCCAACTTGAATATCGAGATGAACTCTCTGAAAATTTTAAAAAGAATTATTAATATATTTTTAAATTTACATAAGTAGAAATAAATTTTTGAAATATTAACCAATTGAGTTCCACTGAACCAGGCAGTGCTATTTGAATATAAGCAAATAACATGTTCTCCTGGTGTTTGTGACGTAAATGAAATTCGTCCTTCGGAACTATAAACTCTCGAAAGAATTGTTTTATCATCCGGATCTCGAACTTCTACGTGCATTCCAATTCCAGGACTACTTGGCATAAATCCCTGACTACGTGGATCATATAATTCCACTTTATAGTTCACTGTAATTAATTAATCAAAAATATTATTTGTATTAAACAGAATTTACATGAAACATCAAAAAATCAATATGTTAGATAGAAATCGAAACAAATAGTAAAAAAATATTGTGAGAAATGATTTATTTTAAATTCTAAATATTTTTAAAAGATAAATTTAAAATATGCTACAATTTTGAACAAAATTTTGTTTAAAAAAATGAATAAAAATAAGTTGTTTATAAATGTTTGACAAGTCAAGAAACCAATATGTTAGGCAATTTTTAATTTGATAATGAAATAAACTCTTGACTATATGAAAAATAAATTAAGGTGACATAAATATGCATTTAAATAATAATTTTATACCTAAAATTGCAGTTTCATCTGGAATTTCTTCTATAAAACATTTTCTTTCGGTTTCACCGATGTGGAAGTAAAGTCCTAAGGAATATTCAAAAACTACACTAAGCACTAGGAAATAACACAAATATTTCAACATTTTTTAATTTTGGAAGGTAATTTTTTTTTATAAACTATTTAATATTGGCCTTATTTTAAATATAATATTGCTTGGGAAATTAATTGAAACAATTCACACATGCCAAATAATTCTCCCACGTCAGCTTTAGAAATTATGCAAACATAACCTTTAATTTATAAAGTGGTGCCTCTAGTGAGAAAAATTGTTTATCGATAGTCGATATCAAGAAATTATCAACAATCGATACTATATAGTAGAAAAAATACACACGTTTATAATTGTTATGATTGTTATTGTTAAATACAACAATGGAACTTGTTTTACTTGTATCACTTGCAGTAATTATTGTAATTTTAATTATTGGATTGACTGTATTTTCTCGTAGAGGAACAAGTAAGTATTTTGCAGTATTACAATATAAATAACAATATTTTATTGAAAATTTATCTGGTATTTTTGTTTGACATGTTGTCTAACCTCAAAATTTTTTGACAGCTGTTATTTTTATCTTTTAGTTTTTAATTATTATTTCTAATTTAACTTTTAAGTTAAATAATTGTTTAACTAAGATAAATTATCTCTAAATAATTTTATTGAAAGTTTTTTTCTTTTGACAACATTTAACCTAAAATTGTTTACAATTTAAATTAATTAAGATATAGAATATATTTACATGGAATAAATTATATAATGTAAAATAAATAATTTTCGCGACTTTTGAAAATTAATTTGAAAATCATTTTTATTAGAATAAGAATTATTCAAAGCTAATGTAAAATGTATAATGAATAAATTAAAAGTATCCATCAGTTAGAATCAATTTTCACAATCTCTTTTTTTTCTCTTTAAGAAAAATTAAAGACCGAAGCACCAGCACAAGCTGTTCAGGGTCGACGAGTACGTCGAGTTGCAGGCGTTAGAAATGCTCGTCAACGAATCCGTGAAAATGATGCTCATCAACAAGTCAATCAGGATCAACAAAATAGATCTGACGATGAGGAGAATAATGAAACCGAAGAGAAACCTGATATTCCAGAGGGGAAAATAGGCGCCAAGAAAAAGGCAAAATTGGAAGCGAAAGCAGAAAAGAAAGCACAGAGAGAAGTTTTAGAACGTGAACGTGATGATCGTAAAAAACGTGAACAATTACTTCAAGAGGAGCGTGATAAGCAAACAGAAAAAGAACGCGAGGAAGAGAAACGTCAAGAGGAAGCCGAGAAAAAAGCAAGAGAGGAAAAAGAGAGACAAGAATATGAGGAATATTTGAAAATGAAAGAAGCATTCAGCGTTGAGGAAGAGGGTTTTGAGGAAAAAGATGATGAAGAGGAGAGAAATTTATTACAAGATTTTATTAATTATATAAAACAAAATAAGGTTGTTATTTTAGAGGATCTTGCAAGTCATTTCTCATTGAAAACAGCGAGTGTCATTGAAAGAATTCATGATCTTCAAGCCGATGGTACTTTAACGGGAGTTATTGATGATCGAGGAAAATTCATTTATATCTCACAGGATGAACTTGAAGCTGTCGCGAAATTTGTTCGACAACGAGGTAGAGTTAGTATTACTGAATTAGCGGAACATTCTAATAAATTAATTAATTTAAAACCATGCAATACTACGGTAGAAGCTCAATAAAGAATGAATTTTTTATAGCGAAAACGTCTGTTTATTGACTTTTCAATTTCAGCTTCTACCTTACATATTTTAATTATTTTTTAAAGTAATTATTTTAATTGAAATTTTAATTTTAAAATTTTTATGGAAATTTAAGAAAAAAATCATTTTGTAATAAAAGGATTTTTTCTGAAATTTTTGTATTCTAAAGATTTTGCATAATTTTTTTTTTGTTACTTTATCATTCGCTATACATTGTAGTGAATTGAATATTCAATTTTACTTAATGGTTTTTTTTTAAATGAGGTATATTAAAGTATTTAACTTCTTACTATTTTTGAAATACATTTAATTTTATTTCTTAAATTTTCATTTTTATTTATTAATCATTATATTTATTTTTTTTATATTTTTTTTTATTTTACTGTTTCTGTTTTCTTTTTTTTTATTTTAATTTCTTAGATTCCACAGTTACTACATTGAATGCAGTGAAAATAAATTCATGTAAGTTAACTAATTTGCAAATTTTTTTTTTGGAAAATCAACTAAAATAATTTAATTTTTTTAATTTTTTCATATTTTCTTGATTTCAGGTGAAATTTTTAATAACGGACACAAATTTTTACATCTAAAATATTGCAAACATATGCAAATATCGCATCTGATGACACTCCCAACTTGGTTGCATCAGATTCTAGTTTACCTTAACTGCAAGTTATTTCTTGATGTATAAATTATCTTTTAACATCGAAAAAATATTGTTTAATATCCTTTGTAAACAAACAAATGCAATTTTGCAAACAGGAAACTAATTTCAAGTTCAGTAACTTCAGTTTTTGAATTTTCAAAATCTTTTTTGGAAATTCGTCAAATTAATAATGGAAAAAGACTGATAATTTTTCTTATAAAAATAAAAAATAATTTTCAGTTTTAAATTATGGGAAAAATAAGAGTAAAAGATTTTATTTAATATTATCAAGAGGGTAAATATTTAAAACTTTTAATATTAATAAATTTTGTGTAATTTAGAATTTTCATTTACAATATTAAAAGCTACAAAACCGGTTTAGAAAAATGTAAATGATTTTGATTTCAAAGAAACTACAAAGTTTCTATTACAACTGTTAGCGAATTTATTTTACGTTTTTTTTCTCTTATTTTAAAAATTATTTTCTTCATAATAAAAATTAGAATCATGTTTTGGATAATTCTTGAATCATTGTTGACATAAAAATATTTTCGTATTTTTTTTCCTCTTTGATTTAATTTTCCTGACACAAGTCACGTAAATACTTCGCAATTAAAAATTATTCTTATTCTAAATTTTTTAAGTTTTCAGATTTCTACGTTTGGGAAGGAAGAAATTTTCCAAAATGCAAAATGACAATGTGTTTTTTCTTTTTAAAAATTTCTAAAGATAATAGAAGATTTGATAAAATAAAAAAAATATATATAGAAAGCATAAAATCCCCACTTTTATTCTAATAATGAAGAGAATATGGGAGGGATTGCAGGTGAAGGGAGCTTTGTAAAAGCCACAGGAATCACCGGAAGATTCGTAGTCCTCTACCTGAGGTTGACAGTGTGAGTTCATTTCAAAATTGCATTAAACAATTGGATGAGGGAAGTTTAAATTACAATTCAATTGGAAATTTATCAGTGACACTTTAACACAAAACGTGATTGATTAATTAATGATTTTTATTTTTTATCGACACTAAGAATTTCGTATACTTATGTGTCCATGAGGTGCAAGGTTTTAGACTGTCAAGGCAATTCAGCAACGTTTTTACCAAGTATCAGGTGAGAATTAAGAAACAAAAAAGAACAGGTTCTTTTTTAAAAAATTAAAAAAAGGAAATTATATCTATTTTAAAATACAACAATTTATTAGAATTGTTACAATCATTTTTTTTCTTCCTATTAATTAAAATTAAATGCCTTTTGTTATTAATAATGATTTGTAATTAATTTTTGTAATTTAGACTAGCCAAGAATCTTCGGACACGCAAAGGGAGTCGACGTGGTAATTCTGGAAACCGTTTAGAATTATTGGTTTTAGTTCACTTACATCACGTGCCATAGGGTAAGTTTTGAAGAATTAAATTTCGACTATACGCTAAACATATTAATTAATTTATTTATTGTTGAAAATTATTTTTAAAAAAATATTTTTTATTCCAGTATTTCAAAAAATCTCTGGAAATTGCGAAAGCAGCAATCGCAATATCAATTAAAATTAAATAAATTACTGAGCTGCTTCCGAACCATTGATACTGCTCTGAAAAGCATTAATCAATTTAAAAAAAAAAATTCAGAAAACTAAAAATCGATAATTACAATATAAATAATTGAAAATATATTTTTAAAAAATGGTCCACGGAAGATATGCCGATTCCCAAATTAAGGGACCGTTCAAAGAAATCAAGTAAGTTTCTATTTTTTTTTTAATCTCAAAATTTTATTTAAAAAACTTAATTGTATTTAGAATTTTAAATAATTACATTACTAAGTACATATGCTAGTAAATTCTTTTTGTAAAAGATTTAAAAAAGATAGGAGTGTCGATGATAAAATTACGTAATGGAAAAACTAACACATAAAAAATTTTTCCCAGGAAAGAAAAAACTACAAGTCCTTCTGGTAGTCAACAAAGATCGCAGTCTACACAACAACAGAATAAGGATAATAAATACGGTGCTTGGGGTCCAGTTTACAAAGACAAGCAGAATTTCATAAATATGCACATTTGCTGAATAATTAATTTTTCTTGAGTCAATGATGGAAGCTTTTCTGAAACATTCTCGAAAACATCAGGTTTATCGTTTACAATTCAACAAAATTTATTATTTTAATTATTTTTTTCATATGAAAAAAACAAATGACGTTCAACATATTTAATTTAAAAATTTTTTAAATTCAAAATTTACTTTAATTTAAAATTGATTTCAAAAATGATTGATAAAACAGTATAAAATTAGTATAAAATAGTATTTTATCATGTCAGCTATTTGTCAAAATTGTTTTTACTTCTTTGGAGAAAAAATATTTATTGAAAATTTTTATAATCGGTCTTTTCGTCATTCTGCCAAACAGTTATAAAAAAAGAATGCTTTCAAATATTATTAAGTGACTCGAGTTTTTGCAAAATTTCACAGAATTGTGATTTATAGCGTTCGTGTGTGTATTTATCGAATGACTATAAATTTCCGATTATTTTTTTCACCGAAAATAAGTACAGACTGATATATATTTTTTTTTTGTTTTAAGAAACTTTCGCTTTTCCTCATGATGATTCTTTGAGAGTCGGAAATTCACGAGAAACGAGAGTTATGAATGTTTATTGAAATTGTCAATTTTCTTCAGAGCAGAAAAAAATTTAATCTCTATTTCATTATTATTTTGTATATCTGTAAATTTAGAGGCACTTTAAATTCCGCGAGTTCTTTATTTTCTTCAAAAAGATGAATTAAAATAATTGGAAAAGAGATTCAAAATTTATCAAAAAGTTTAGTATTAATAATATTATTTATTTTAATAATAAAAAAAAAATTCAAAACATATTTTTTACATTAAAAATTCGATTAATATTCCAAATTTTAGTAAAATATAAATTGTTTTTATATTGAATTTTTTGCCTGAAGAAAATTTAACTAGAGAGTAACAATGGTTCGGTGACATTTGATTTATTTATATCTTATACATATTTTGCTTTTTCATATCCTCTCGAGCTTGAAAAATATTAATATAATTTTTTTTCATGGCGAGAGAGATTGTTAACTAGCTAAAATAAAATTATTTTACAAAATGGGTGAATTGGTATCTTTTAGGCTTTTTGAAAATTCCAGAAAAATTTTCGTTATTAAATAAAATAGAAAATCGTTTATTAAAATTTATTTTACTAAAAAAGAGCAGATTTTTGTTTCTTTAAATGGATAATTTTTTACCATTTCTGAACAGCGATTTTTTTTGTTCCATTTTCAAAAAGCCTGATTTATTATTATATGGTGATAATAAAAATTTTGCAATTATGATTTAAAAATCAATTATAAATTATTTATTTCTTGACTTTGATTTCAGGATGTGTTCGAATTTCGGAATTAAAAATAAAAATCACTTTCTCAAATTTCTAAAAGTAATATTTTAAAAAAACAACGAAAAGTGATATAAGAAAAGAAAGAAAGACATCAAAATGTATCATTTTTCCGGAGATGAAAGATGAGTTTTTTTTTCATCAAACAATATGTTTCTTATCAAAAGTTATATGAACTTTTGAAATTTTAGAAACTTTATACATTTCTATAAATGAATGCCAGCGAGTTGATGAGATGAAAAAATGACAAGTTCAAGTCGTTAGCAATAGCTTTAAATATAATTTCACTCCAAAAAGGAAGCTAAGGGTCTAAAGGGCCCGGTTAAGTAAACCTCTTCAGAAAAAAAAAATGGAAAAGAGCGCGATGTAAAAAAAATTGGAAAAAATTTAAGAAAAAAAAAAAAAAATATATATATATATATATATATATATATATATATATATATATATATATAGGGGAATGAAGGAGACATTGTGTGACTCGTGCCCTCCTCCCCTTTTTTTCTTGACTGTCGCCGCGCACGAGTCTTGGAAAAAATGAAGAAAAAACTTTTTTGAGTGAGAGAAAGAGGGTGCAAAGAGAGCTTTCGTCTAAGATTTATCCAAGAAACGTGGTGCAGTCGTTCAAAGTCCGTCGACGAGTAAACGTATTAGACGGTTTCAAATAGTAATTTTCTTCTCTCTTTCGACTTGCCCCATTCCTCGCGTTTTACGCCCTTAAATTATTTATTTATTATTAATTATCGTTTAATATTTATTTCCCCGTCAGTTTTATTACCATTATTTAATATACACAATTCCAATTTATTTTTTATCGCTTAATTCTCATTTTCCAAGTTATTATAAAGTTTCTCTGAAAGACTTTATTAAGAAATTTATGAGAATTTATTTATTGTTTACAGACAATTGTGTGAACAACCGCATTATAGTGAATTAAAAAAATAGTTAATCAAAATTAATTTAATTATAAAAAAGAAAATTGACAAGTGGAAAAAAAGTGTTTTGATATTATTTGAAAGTCGGAACTTTTTTTGGAAAATTGTGTTTCAAGTTCGTGGAAGCTGTTCTTAATTCTCGGAAGGAAGAAAAAAAAAATTTGCTCGAAATCAGTCGAGAGGAACGCAAAGGAACTTCAAGTCGACACCACGTTGCTATTTCGAGTCCGGTAAACTTTTTTACATTCCTGTTGATTTTCTTCCGTTCTGTCTCAGAATGTGCTGTTGCATTAAATACTTTTGTTTTTAAACATCCTCTAGACTATATCTTTTTCGGACAAATTAGAGTTTCACTTATACAGAAATACATACACTTTACATTTTTAAAAGTGAATTTGAAATTTTTTTCAATTATGATTTTAACAATCTATTAATTTAATTATAATATACAATGATGTATTAAAAAACTAATTTTTAAATTTAATTTAATTCCCGGCCGGAAATCAACATTTTCCTACAGCCAATTAAATTAATTTTTTTGCCGCCAAAAACCTTTCAATAAAATTTAAATATTTTATTAATATTTGTTATTATTATTAATGTTATTTTATTAACATTTGTTGTTATTATTATTTTTAATAACATTATTAATATTTTAAATTGCCGTCAATTTAATTTCAAATTTTTAAATTGGATGAAATTTCAATTTTCGAATTTAACGGTTTTTAGTTCGACAATTACACTCTAGGAGCGCCATAGTCGCGCAAAAATATTGCACAACGTGTGGTGAGCGTTGGTTTATCAGTCACTTGGTCAAAATGAAACGATTAAAAAGTAATTTTAAAAAGTTAAAAATAATCATTTATGGTGTCTATATATACTCAATGTATCAAGAAATTATTAACAATAATCAAATTCGCTGATGTCGTGGAAATTGCAAAGATTTTGTGTCGTCATCTAAAAGTCAAAAGAACATAACCTTCAAATATAACGAAAGGTATTTTGTTTTTTTTTATAATTATGCAATTGTTATTATATTATTTACATAAATAAGTATAAAAATTTAATTTCTTTTAAAAAATATAAGATAAAATCTCAGTAAAATAAGTATATATGTAATTAAGTAAAAATCGAGAATGTTCGTATCGTAATTAGTTTGAAATAGTTGGAGGAATATATGGCAATAATTACTATATATGTGTATATATATGTAAAAATTATGGTTTTAACATATGCATGAGCATCAAATTTGCAATTAAATTTCGATTCTCGAGGACACGATATATTACAACTATTGCTCAGGGCGTGACTCGAGAGATTGAAGCTTATAAAATCTAGATATTATTCTTGCATGCTCAAGTCAAGGAAAACAGCTTCATGTGAAGAATTATTGCACTTATCGCAATATCGACACCTACAAAATTTATTTATATATACTCACAAAATTTTTATCCTAAATTTTCCAACTTGTCCACTTGTCAAAATTAATGAAAAATATTGCATTTAAAAAAAAACACAATTAGCCTTTTTCTATTTTCTTAATTACATTTGACGCTTAATTAATTATAATTTAAATTTTGCTACTGATTTCGTGCATGTTAATTGTCAAACCGGATTTGCTTTTTAAAGTGGAATATTATAAATATTAACTTTATAATTATTAATAATTATTATTGTTATGATAATAATATTAATTATTATTATTGTTTTATACT